GTGCTTTTGGCCTCGAGCAGGGAGGGATGGCTGGACATCGTGAGAAACTTCAAGTCTGCCCCCTCCAACACTACAAGACAATCACGACCACTCTGTCAAGAGAGACAGAGCTTTAAAATTTAGATAAGTCGGAGATTCTCGATTCAGGGCGAATATTACCTATTTAATAATTTACGTTCGCTGACGTCACCAATGCCAGGGGCACAGCCAAATCGTTTCAACCGCAATGAGGCACACGCATGAGGAAGAATTTAACCATTACTTGGTTACTGTATAAACGCTATAAATAAATTCATTGTTCGAAATACCTATTCAAGCTGGTCATTAGTTTCCATTATAGAGTAAAACAATGAAAGAAAATACTTTATCAAACTACCCTCAATTGTTGTGACCACTAACTTTGATCGATTCAAAACATGTTATTGTTTGTTAAATCGACAGGTGTGATCGGGCCACTGGCCATTATAATGAAAACATTGCTGTTTAAATAATAAAACTGTGCGAAAGATAATATAATAGTGGAAAACAAAGATAATATATATGTAACTAAACTAGCACGGACGTGATACATCGTGCGTAAGCTGCTAAATAAGTAGGGGAGACCGGGGCAAGATGAAGTCCGGGGCAGGACGGGAATTAAGCTTGTATCCATGAATGGTAATCGCGTTCGGACCGGTAACGGCGCCATTTGCACGAAATTCAGACTGCGCAAGTGCGTCCGAGCAGAGCGAACGTCTTGGATCTCGTTTTTGCGTTGTATAGGAAAAAAACTGATTTTGCAAGTGTTTTTATCCGGTTTTTGGTTAAGAAACTGATGTGCAGACATGTAAGTACTTGAATTAATATAATGTTTTAATCTTCAGCGTATTGTAGTACTATAACACTTTAAATTCAGATTAGATTTTTGCGCCGGTAAGATTTAAGATTAGAATTGCTTCAACTTATTTGAATACAAGTGGGTCGGGGCACAATGATCGGGGCATAACGGGATACTATCCCGTTTTGCCCCTTCCTTGTGGTTTAAATAATACCTTCTGTATACCTACTTATCTATCGATAGTATTGCAACCTGGTTTTGCAAGTGTCGATAGGCTACGGTAACCGCTTTCCATCAGGCGAACTGTAAGCTTCTTTGCCGACTTAGTGGTATAAAAAAAAGTATAAGTACATATTGTTGTAACTTCTACATTAGCAAGATATATCGTTGCTTTTCTCATAAAGTTTTTTTCTCAGATGCAATGGTTCGGAACTATAAACGAAAAACAGATCGTGGCAAATGGGACCCTAAAGTTCTGGGTCTTATGGGTTCCTAATAACAGGATGGGGCTTCCTCGAGCCTCAGCTACATATGATGTTCCACCGCCGTGTAAGAAAAGCTCGTGATACTGTGGATGACGACACTGATTCCGGTAACGACTAAGTATGGGAAAAAGCATTTGTGACGATTCAAAACTGTTTTTACAGCAAAACAAGAAGATGAGTTGGCACAATGTGTGAAATATATGGAAGCACGGTTAACAGGAAAATAACTTCGTGTAATAGCTTATCAGTTGGCTCAGCGAAATCATATAGATGAAGAAACTGGCATGGCAGGAGAAGATTGGCCCAAAACCGACATCAGCCGCAAGAGCTATGCATAGCATAGCCATGGAACGTATGTCCCATCCGTGTACAATATACGCTCGGAAGCAGATGCGAGATGAACTTTTGGATGAACGGAAGCGGATGAAGACTGATGGACAGAAGACTAAAAAAGATAAAAAAAAACGAATACATAAAGTTGGAAATAAGAAGATAAAAATAACTGAAAACAAGCGTCAAGTTAAAAGACTCGCCAAAGAAATCGAATCGGAATATAGTTCATCTTAAGAGGAGGACGGTGATTGGGCCTGCGTCTATTGTGGTTACTTATACTAAGAGTCAACCGAGGGTTGGGCTATCTGCAGTATTTGCCATGGTTGGGCACACGATTCCTGTGCCGGAGTAGATGAAGAAGACGACGAGGCACACATCTGTGAACGCTGTCTGCCCGATTAAAACACGTACTCCTTTTGCCCCGTAGCATTTCTCATCTTACCCCATACATGGGGCAAGACGGGAAATTCGCCTCATTATCGTTAATCATTATTTGTCAAAAAATTTCTGTGATTTTGCAGGTTAAAAATTTTAATTTTAAGAGACAAATGTATAAGTGTTACTTGTTTTCTTAAAGAATTTAATTAAAGAGTATAATTGTCTTTGTACAGCGAGTTTTGTCTTAGCTATCTCATCTTGCCCCGGTCTCCCCTACCTCTATTCTTTTCTACATAGAGTATCATATTCTTTGTTCTTTATGTTACTACCGTGAAATCGTTTACCTGTAAATGTTAGTTACATATCGCTAACCAGTAAAGATAGTGATATATCTTTACTAGACTTTATTACGCGAATCATTTGCCTAGTCATATATGGAATACGAATAGATGTCGTCAACGTGGAACCTCATTTGCGACATGTCAATTTCCAATATTACGCAAATTTATTCAATATTATATCCAATATTACCTACGTGTGTTTTTAGCATTTACTAGGCTTTTTATTGTGAATTCACGTGATATCGTTAAGCATCAGGTATTATAGTTTTCAAAAATTATTTTATTCGCGAAGCAGTTGCCCTTGAGGTGTTAGGTCTCCTTTGGAGGCGTTAGGGCAGCTGTTAACAAATCCCATCTTCTCCTGGCTAAACCCGTGCTCGCCCACCTGTCCTGGTGAAACTGGAAAGGCCACTAAGCCACCGGTAGTCCTTCCTTCATAAAAAAACTTATCAGAATACCTAAACCCTGAAAAATACACAATAACCTCGATTTAAAATTCCGAGTCTAGACTGAAAAAACTGATACACAATTCTAAATCATAAAACGTATATTCTCGGAAAATATCGTCATAAACAATACGTTTTCAGTACAAAGCACTTTGTTCTGATACGCGGCAGAGCTGCGCAGTGACTCACTGTATTGACGCGTTCAGAAAAATGAACCGCCAATGTGGAATGCAGAATGTAGTCATGATTTTTCTTTGAAACTCTTTGGTACCTATTTATAATCATAGTAACGACTTAACGCTATGGTGAAATAGATTGAAATAGCGGTATCTGCGGTCTGGACTATAAATATGATTTTAAATAAAATCGCTCACAAAGACCCGGATTCTTGGTGAAAGCCACCAATAATTACGTGTACTAGGTATTAACCCAGACTTTTTTTTTTATTGCCTTTGTAGGCAGACGAGCATACGGTCCACCTGATGGTGAGTGGTTACCGTCGCCCATGGACTTCAGCAATGCCAGGGGCAGAGCCAAGCCGCTGCCTGTTCAATCATGGTTACGTTTTTATTCTTTTGATGCTTTAAGTGGATAAAACGTATACTAAAAGAGCATATTGTAAGCTCACAAGGGTAGGTATCACCACCCTGCCTATATCTGCCACGAAACATTCATTGCGGTTCGAAGGAATGATTTAGCCATTATACTACACTAAGCAACAGACTTAGACCTCGCGTTTCAATGTCCATAGGTTGCGTGAGCTTGGTTATATTATAGCTATATTATTAGCCAAATACTAATACCGTTTATACTTATTCTTATTCATGGTCATTGACATGCAACGTAATGCATATCTATATTGGCATATACTTATCTTTGATCCGAGTTGATCGCATATCTAGCGATAACAATTGGTATCTATTTCGCTGCTAATTTTGAAGGATTAGTTCGAATGACAATTTCAATCGATTCGAAAATATACTATTATGGCCTTCAAACAAACGCGGGGTTACTTCGCGGCATAAATAAGTGGTTTACCTACAAACAAAATAGGATAGAAGACATTTTTTTTATAATTCTCTCGCAACGGTATTGTGACATGCGATTTTTTTATAAATAAACTACCGTCTTTAAACTATTTTGTTTGAAAAACTTAAAATAGAGCTGTAGGTATCGTGTATGAACAAGATCGTGAGTGATTAATCACTTACCACCTTGAGACCTGATAAACATGACGGAAGACTCACACAAAATAATGTTTCTAAATTTAGACGGACGCACTCGTTTGAAATGTAACTCTTCGTGCCTATTGCCTTCATCTAAAACACCTACACGTACCTACCTACTTATTAAAACTACGACTGTTGGATATTTTATAATGCAAAGCTTATTAATTCTTCTATGAAATATTAAGATTCTGTTCAATTTTGTCCCTTTTCATTGTATCCTATCCCAACGCAATAAAAGAGACGATGAACGAATCGAATTATTATGACATCTATGAAAGTAATAAGGTGGACATTTTTAGTAAATTTTTTTAATTTTAGAATTGTCTATGAGTTCAGTGACCGTGCATGTCAAAAAACATCGATACATTGATCGACCAATTTTACAATAGTAGTGCACAATTGATATCAGACCTTTTTTTATTTTCAGAGCGTGAAAAACCATTACCATTATTATTGGGGCAGCAGTGTGCGACGCTTTCACAAAGCGTCCAATTTTCTGGAGATGAGCGGCATGATGAAGAGGTGTCTAAGAAGGAGAGAGAGCCGGGTGCGCCGGCCGTGGGGCGATGGGGAGCAGAATGGCCCAGTTGACTCGCTGGGGAGTATCACCTGACCGCGCCCCTGCCGCGAGCGCGTTGGGGGGCTCCGCGCCGTCCGCTGCAACTCCAAGCGCGCCCGCACGAGGACCTCGCCACGTTCGCCGAGACCGCGCTGCGCCGTCTGCTGCTCGCCGAGAACTACGACTCGATCGCCAACCTTCTTCATCTCTATGACGCCTACAGCCGCGCCAACAAACCGCTTACCGCACTCTACAAGCGATACGCGCCACAGCTACATCCCAAGAAGCACACGTGCGTCGGACTCGGTTTTGAGTTGATCCGTAGATGGCGCCGCCTCGAGAAGGGGTTCCCGGGGTTCGTGCGCGCCACGTCCCTGGTGTCGTGCGAGGAGGCCGTCCCCGAAGTGCAGCAATATGTGGCGGCCGCGTGTCCCTCCGCAATGCCGGGCGCCGAGAAGGAGCACGTGATGGTGTGCGTGCAAATCCAAATAGACGGTCGCAATGGCGTGATGCTGGCTGATCCCGGCTATCATGTGCCGAGGATCATCACTGTCATGGCAGACGGGGCGTATCCACACACCGGTAAGGAACCTTCCGAATCTCCCACTTCGCACGCTCAGAAACCTAAGGCAGATGTTGACTGCTAACTGTCTTTTCCTGCAGGTTGGTTCACGCAGATGGACGAGCCGCACTGTCGCAAGGAATACAACTACACGTTCAACCAGGACAACCCCGGTTATGTGGAGTGGCAGGAGCGGGAAACTCGCGGCGGCATCGTGAAATGCCAGACCTCCCTGGTGTTTGTCGGAAAACCGTACCAAGACGCCGTCAACGTAACCGAGAGAAGGAATCTCGTTTACAACTTTAGGTGAGAAAACTACTCTTTGACAACAATTTTGCTATAGCACATGATGATAGTCAAAAATATTTATAAAGCATGATTTGTACAGAAGTCTCTTGTCGCGAGACCAGAAGGGTCACCTTCGGGCCGGGATGTACTTCCCGATCGGAGGACGAGGGGTGGAGGAACAGTTCACGTTGTTCTTCGAGGAAGGCCCAGAGAAGCGGAAAACCAAATACAAATTTAGCTCGTTCATCAGCACTAAGGACGTAAGTGTATTTTATGATATGTCAATGACCCGATGTTAGTGTATTTCGGTCATTCCAAAACATTTAAAAAGTTACCTTCGATAATTTTACAGGACAAGTTATGACCTTATCTTTCATTCAAATATTTCCTTCCAGATCCCAGAATCCGCTCTTGAAGATATCAAGCTTTGCAACGCACAATTAAACTACAAGCCGGACGAGCTCCTCGAAATTATTTGTAAACTAGCCAATGTAATGGCGGACGAGTCGTTTATAGAACAAATGCTAAAGATAAACGATGATATCTGTCGAGCGGGATTCGACGCGCAAAGGGATTAAAACAACATGGCCGTCATAACAAAATGGCCGCCGACCGAGCTCGGCGGGAAACCTTAGAAACGGCGGCGTATTCGATAAAATTATCAGTTCCATTTTTTTTGTACTAATTTCTAAATTACATGATTCCTTAAGTATTTTTATACGTTCAATTATTTTTATTACTTTGGTGAAAGGTGTATTTTATTGGTCTAAGTTAAAATGTTATCAATTGGGTGGACCGGGTTATATTTTTTAAATGTTTAAGCTATGGGTTTCTTTAATACACAATTATTTCACGATCAACTTGTTTCATTATACCCAATAACCAAAGTATGGATTTGATGGATTTAACACTAACCGTTTTTGTCTTCTTATTTTTTCTGCATGGCAATAGATTCTTGCGACGCCATTGCTGCTAGTTTGTTTTTATCTAGTCTAAAAATGTATCTGAAAGCCTCATCTAGTTACTTTGTTTCTTTTTCCCACTCTTGTGCACTTTCATAAGATGCTAAACGGTTAAAAGAACACCATTATTACGTATAAACCTGTTGAAATAGAAACGTTCACAAAACTTTACGGATTCCCGACTAAACATCCGTTTTTGTGTCATAAAAAACATTAAAATCCGAAAGGCCAAAGTTGATTGATCTACAGATAAAACAATAGGTATACCATTGCATTCCAAATGTGTTTTCTACTTTTCTTTAAAAACGTATAAGTAATATTTTAAGCAAAGGATTTCCAAAACCTGGCTTAAGCCTTAATCAAATTGTTCTTCAAAAATAAAAGTCGTTTTATTTCTAAATTTTTTTATTATTCTAACGATCACACGAACGAAGAGAAAGATTGGTTCTTTTAAATCTAACATCAATAATTACTTCTAAGAAAATATATATTTATATCTCGAGTCTATTCAAGTCTAGCCGTGGGGCGCGGCGCCTGCTTGGCCTATCCACGAAGACACGTTTAGGAATGAAACCTTAACGTCCACCAAACAAGGTCTTATTTTGTGCGTTCACCACAAGGGCCACAAGTATGGCGAGGGATGTGCATCGAACATTATTGATTTACATGGCAAGTTTTACGGGCAAACTGAATAGTCAAATCCTTAATTACAGATAACCAATCGCATTCGGTACATAGAAGAAAAAAAAAACTCGACATCAAAACCATAAAGTCGGAACTTCATCTTTTGTAATTTTCTTCTAACCGGTTATTATAGACTTCTATGAACCTTTTTTTTTTCAGAATAGAATTTCTCTCAATGATTATTATCTAAACTTTATAGTGTAATCACAAAAAGAGCCGGATAAAAAACAAAACAAAACACATTAATCTGTGTATAGGCAATTAAATAAAAGATCCGAGATTTTATTTTACTACACACGCCATTTTTTATTTATTTATTGTGTCCGTTTTAAATCCTTTTTAATTACAATTAATATTTGACAAAATTTTTCAAATAGTTCTTATTAAATTCACGAATCTGAATGGGATATTTAAAAATTGTGTGATTATTTATTAGGAAAGTTATTTTCTTTTTGGAATGAAAAATCGAGCGAACTTTTCCCCGGACTCCTTGCCATGCAAAATATATCCTTATCTTAAACATACATTAAATACATATTTCTAAACCGATTTTAATGTCGCGACGACCATGCACCCTCTTCTTTGAAAACGACCATGAGAAGGTAAAGGATCTAAAATAGGTTTTCGCTTGATACATTTGACAGATGTCAATCAATCGTCGTTCCAATATTTTGTGGGGATATTATTTTCATTAAAACTTTTTTATGTTCCAAGTTTTATGCATTAACTTTTTACTCAAATGCAAACAAACAAACCGCATGGAGCTCACAGAATACAAAAAGCACAGACTAACATTAAGTTTCGTCAAGTTATATCGTATGATGATGAAAACAAAAATCCCCACAAAACATCGTAACACACATACATATTATAATTATTAACTAAATACATACACATTAATATTAAATTACACTTTTATATCGACGACGCTATCTAAATAAAAATAAACTGTATGTGAAGGCTATTTCTTCTGCAATAGATACGAACGTGATGGAAGTGACAATATATTCTGATTTTTGAACGTCTTAAAAAATCCTTGGATCTTATCGCAGAGAAAACCCCAATTTTCCACTCGTGAATTATTCGTTTTCGCTGAAAATTCGTCGCATCTCATTTACATCGCCCATTGTTCCATTAAAAATATGTCCGGGACAAATCAAAACTCATATCTGGCACCAAACTAAGATTACTTCCTTTACTATAGAAACCAGAGATTGTAGTTGGTTGATTATGGAGATTATTAGGTACTTCCCGATTATTTCACTACTTTTTTTTAGCCGTATGATTTTGGTATATAATATCATGTAGTTCTCTCTCTGTTACTCCTGATACTAATGATGTCTCTAGCCTACGTAGCACCCGTGTGGAATCATCACCTAGCATTTAGTAAGCATGGGGCCAAAATGGAATAAGTACAAATGTCTCAACTTCATCTCTGTCATCTCTCTATCATCTCGTTTCATCTTCACTTTTAACTCTTAAAATTCGGGTTCATTAAAAGTGCCGAGACCGACGCTTCCGAACACCGCTACGCCATTGGTAACGCCACCTCTGGATAATACAATCCCTTACTCACGCACTGGTAGATAGAATACAATAGGCGCTGTTAATGCGGTAATTTATCCTCATCAATGCGAGCCACTACTTCACCTGCTTAACCCAATAGCTCGTTCCCGACCAGCGATTCTTGGGTTATACGTGACCAGCCCATTACACTAGCCGCCTACTAAAAACTTACCTGGGTCCAGCAGTAGGAGTAATGGTGGTAACTTTAACTATCAAAATAAACTTAGTTTCATCGGGGGGGATATGTGAACCTTCACATACAGTTTGCAACAACTACAATTTTCAACTAACACCTTTTACATAATACGAGTAGGTATGCCTATCAGTTAAAAAGTGGTTACATCGAAAATGGACACATATTTTTTTGACACACGAATATAGACTTTATTCTGTTGAAGATAATGAAAATACACTCGATGCTTTAATCTAAGTATCCACTAACGCGACCCTAAACAGGACTGTTAAATTAGTATTGTATCTTTTTTTTTTACAAAGAGCTGTACACTCGACGCCCGGGAATAACATAGACGTTTCTCGAATATTATTCTTATAAATTGAGTATTGGAAATTAGAATTGCCGTTATTTGTTTAAATTTAAAACTTATACATTTCAGAATAACTGTCGCTATTAGACACAGCAAATTGAAGTCTAAGCTGCTTTCAGACTACGCTAGAATATAATAGCATATACTATATGTACGGGCAAGCGCGCATTTTTTAATAAAACATACAAATTCATTTTATATCAAAGTCACTCATTTTCCAGTAAGTTCGTGTACCGCAATCGGCAAGACGTCGCCTACACACATAGTGTCATTTTTATCATATAAACAGCCACCAATCAATAAACAATTACTCAATATTGGAGTTGTTATCATTACCATAACAGAAGGTTGTTTTTTTTTATTGCCCTTGTAGGCAGACGAGCGCACGGCCCACCTGATGGTGAGTGGTTACCGTATGGTCGCTCATGGACTTCAGCAATGCCAGAGGCAAAGCCAAGCCGCTGCCTACCGTAAAATAAAAACTGCCTACCGTGTGGACAAACCGGATAGTACATCAATACAATGTGCTCATAGCACAACAATATCGCGCACCATACATTGTTATGGGACACGTTCACACTGTACTGTACTACATATGAGTCGACTATTATCAAAGCCGGCAATCTGACTTTTGGACAATTATTGGTAAATCAGAAAAACGAATTATTGACTTTGTATTCCATTGGCAGTCACAAAACTCTTCGGAACGACATCTTAGATAAATAACAGGTTAAGTATTAACCTTTATTTAATGCAGGTTTTGAACCGTATTCTTTGAAGAAGACGATTATATTCAAATCAATCTGTATTGACATATCAATAATTTTTTTTGGTCCAAATGCACAGATTGCCACCTTTGATAATAGACGACTCATATATATTATTGGCTAAGTATACGCTGCTATACTATATGGCCCTATAGTATAGCGTAGTCTGAAAGTATCTTTAGTCAGGTCGATACTTACCGCGGGTCAGGAGTTGCACGAGCAAGTCTCGGCAAGTATTTCGAACGCTATATAACGGAGCCGTTAGACATTATCTCGCGTAATTTTCAAAAGCAACAAAATAACGGATATTTGTTTTTGAGATTCCAATTTTAAAGCGAAACGCAATCAATCGCTAATAATTAATCTAACGAGTCAATAATTTTTGTTCGAGTTACTTGTTGAGTTGACTAATACAGGCTGTTCAAATCGTACAAACAGATTAGTGAATATTTAATTTAGGTATCATATATTTCAGATATCAAAATACAGAGTGGGGTGATGTCCGTATCACATGAGATCCCTAAACATCAAATCCTAAAACGATATTTTTATTGCTAAAAAAAAACGGACATTAGAATGAAATAGCTTTAGTTTATTCGAAATATCATGTTTCTATTTCATAAATTTACGCGTCCTGTATATAAAATTAAATATCGACAACCAGAGAAATATCACTACATTCATTCGCAAGATGCTTATCTACTCTGTTGTATTGTTTAGCTTCTGACACTATTAAAATCGATCATTAATACATAATAATATGAAATTGAGGATATTCAAGTTCAAACGAAAAATCTAAAGGCACGTTAAATAAATAAGGACACTTCTGACGAAATATGAAGGCGTAGGCTCTTCAGAAAAGTGCAATGTGTAATTTTAATTATAGCCATTTTCGACACTTTTATAAAATTAGATACAATATAAAAAATAAAAATAAAAAATGCTTTTAATAAAATTTGAACAGCCTGTATATATCAAGTCATAGACGGTTTTGTATCGGTGGTACTGGTGTCGAAGGATATTATTATATTAATTAAACTCTAACTTTACAAAGCTTATATTTTGGGGAACATTTGTTTTTTATGGAATATATACGGTATTATATTATTATACGGAAATGTCGTTATTAACGTCAAAACAAGTAATCGATTTAAGCGCAGCCGGCGTCGACTATGCGTTCACTAACAAACTGCAAACAGTAAAAGTCCGTCAAGACACTTGCAATTATTTATTTTATTTTAGAGGAACTGAAACCAAAACCTTATATCCCACCTCAGTATATATTAGCCCAGTTCATATCTCTACATTATACATTACATTATACTGTTTAGTTTCCACAGAAGACTACGTGAAAATATTGTTATAGGATATTCGACTTTATTCAGCTGTGTTTCGGCTAGTTTTATTTCAATTACATAAGAAATATTTTCCACTACCTTTTTTAATCATATAAATCAATCTTAGCGTGGCCGACTATCGATGCTCTCACATAACTACGCAGTGACGTCACAGTTTAGTAAACAAACTCAATACTTGCGAAGTTGTTCGAATCTCTATGAAAATGATTTGTTTCTGTTCTTTCGTCGTTTATAGTCCTGATCGATTCTACTCTTGTGTAAAGCGGTTGATTTTGTCTTGTTTTTTTGTTAATAAAAACTACTAATTTAGGACCACGATACATTTACATTACGAATTTGATACGATTTTCGTGCTTGACGTACAGAACGGTGCCATTCAAAAGGGAGCCAGGTAATATTCATAATAAACCAAATAAATAAATAAAAAACTATTAATTTAGGACCAATAAACATGACAATTGCAATCTCAAAACAATACACACACATTGCAACGATAATATCCCCCTCAAATCCATTTTATCTTTAATCCCTCGATCGAATCGACCTGCAATCAGGCAGTAATGTTTCTCCGGTTTGTATTCGAATAAGTCCAATCAAACACAAAAAATTCAATAAAAAAACCAATACAAGAGTAAATAAATAAAAAAACAATTAATGAGAGAATCCATCACGAAGAATATTTATTTTGCGTGTCAATTCCAAATTAATTTTGATCAGTTGTTAAGTGAAAAGAAAAAAACATTCTAGAACATTTGCGATAGCGACGTTAAAAAAAAATGAAAACTAAATAATAATATGTAAACTGAAACACAGTGACAAAACGATGCTTCTACATTTTTTTAAATCGGTCCAAGCTGATCAGCTTTCGGCTATACTTAATCAGTATCATGTTGGTTACAGCATAACCAATATAACCATCCAGTTGGATCTTTTGGTACAATAGGGAAGGCTGTATGTTTTTATACGACTACTGGTTGATTAGTACTACACTATAGCTATGCGATGCGACGCAGCGCGTGCACGAAAAAAGTGGCTATACTTTAAATATAACGCTTCAACGAACTTCATTGAATCTCACACAATCGTTAACCTTTTACATAAGTTTTGTGACTGTAAATCCGAAAATCGACACAAAAACAAATCTGTTCAAACGCTCAAACTGCGAGATCGAACGTGCTCGCTGAAATATACGTAAAAAGGAACTTATTTTAAACTAATTTATACGTAAAATAATAATAATAATAATAATAATAAACTAAGATCGTTATATTAAACGTCAATCGCAAACGTTTTGAAGGTTATTAGCATTCTCCTAGACAGTCCATACAACTTGCAGTAAAACCTTCGACAATACATTGCAAAGGGACAAACAAAATTGAGCACTCGTGAGCACGCTTCACGTTCCGATAACGTTTGCTCGCTGCCAATACTTACTACCTAAACTTTTTTATAACCTTCAAAACTATTAAAAGGAATCGATCGATTTTAAACGGTACGCAATTCGACTTAAGGTTGATGATCCGGTGCAGGTAATGCCATCACGATAAATTCTCAAAGCCAAACACATATGTGCTCCGTCCAGTTTAACGCCATCTAGTTTGAACGCATGAAACTAAAACACTAGTTCCAGTGTAATGAACTTATCTGTTCTTCCACTTCGTAGCTACGCGATGACATTAAATCCACTTGACATTTTTCTAAACCTCAAAAATTATAAACATATAGATAGTCGCTATCGCTTCGCATATCCATCGTACGTTTTTCGCCAAAGGGAGCTTATCCACATTTACAATACATACATGTACCGGAAATTCATAGTAAACCTAAAAACGAACCATCAAAAACATATTATAAATTAGAAATTTTTGCAAAAACAAATCGAAACCACATTGAATTTTGACATTTGTAAACAACGAAAATATTCGTGACAAAAAAAAACAAAAGGAAACTTTTCCAACAGAACATGGCAACATCGGAATACAGATAAGCCCCCTTCACAGTGTTGCCAGTAAACGTTTTAATGGTACGTCACGTGTCGGTGGGGGCGGTACGAGCGCGCCCTGTGTCGTTGAGGGTGCGAACCGCCGTACACCTCGCGTACCCCACTGGAAACACAAAACAAATAGTCCTCAACGAATGTTGCATTTTTATCTATATCGAAGGGTGAAAAGTTTGAAGTGACATCTTCGCATTACAGCCGAGCAATTTAAAGGTGAAAATTTGGAAAACATACCATAAAAAAAACTTCTTCAACTAATTGAATGGGGTAAAGTTAATTGAAGTTCAATTGAAAACATCGAACCGTTGATGCTAATACAAAATAAAACGGACCTTTAATTACAAAGATAAATTCAGCAAAATGTGGCTTAAATCAAATAGCTATTCACCCCTCGATATATTATATTAATTTATGAAACTAAATTTTTACCACGATTTAAACCACCAACCCAATGCCGTAATTCACTCTACGGGGATGATTATATGAAACTTGTTCCTAATAATATTTATCTTCGTATAACATTAGTGGTGTTAATGTTTAAGATTTGGCTTTAGCATTAATGCACACATCTGAAACATTCGATTGGCGATACAAGAATCGATATGCTTGGTGCGAGTTTTTTTTAACGTTCTCGATCGCGTAAAAGTTAACTCAAATTTGTACGTTCGCCGCTAGGGGCGCTGTTCCAACTCGGACTAAGCACACGGTCCTCATATAAATACATAATACGTTCATTGTGTTATAATGTTAAGTGAACTATTATCGAGTTTTTGTTTCTGAAGCTAGTACTGTAGTACACGTCGTCTATTGGAGCCCGTGGGCATCACCCCGCCCATCTACGGTTCCAAGTTTCAATTCTATTGCATCACAGTCGTCCGGACATTCAAAGCCGATCGTGACAACTATGAAGCGTACGTAATGTTGCTACATGTCCCACATAATCTTTAAATCATGGTAAACATCATGTTTCTTTCCTAAAACTTACAATCTATTTATCTGAATTATTAGTTGGTGAATTTCACGTGTTAGTTTATGTTTTGAAATTGCGGTTTTTGTTACTGTGAATCAGAAGCTGTAAGTTTAATCTCGTTTAGGTATAAACTCATCGTGTGAAAACCATCACCGATACAGTGTTTTTTTTATTATTATTTTAACGTGAAAATAAGGTTTTTTCCTTCTTTTTTCCCACTTAAGCTGATGGTCTAGAGACACCATATCAGCGTTAACTTAACTAGTAGATGAGCTCACGGGGCTCAAACCTGACGATGTTGCTAACACGAACCCCAGCAAGAGCCGTGGTTTGCAGAATCTATCACCGGATCGGAAACGGGACCCACTGAGAAGATTCGGCGAGAAACTCAGTGGGCTATGTCTGTGGGTTAATTTACTCGCCGAGCCCTTCGTCGCAAGCGACGGGTTCGACGAGGACGGTGACCGGAGAAGGCTCACCGAAACAGGCCTAATGTAGCGGCGACGTCGCCATGGCGTTTCGGTGAGTTAGGGCCCTTAGTGGAAATGATATGAATATAGCAGGTTTAAACAGAGTGAAGTGTGCTGGATTGAAGTGAAGTGTGGTAGTTTAAGGCGCCGTGTTAAAAATCATTCCACTTGCTACTACGGCGCCACCTTCATAGGCTCCCTATCAGAGGACGATTTTAATACACTGAGATGGTACTCCTTAATTCTATGCTCCATACCGTAAACACAAATTTGACATTCCATTCTCGCAATTATGAAACCAGACATTTCGAAATATATTTTTAATCGTGCTTGCAGTATGGGTATTTCTGCACGTTATTTGTCCACCATAATTAAGAGACGTTCAAGAGAAGTAACTAACATAACAGTCCCGACTTTGTTACGTAAACTGAGTTCCATCATTATTCGGAACAATATGATCAATTCATGAAAAAATCTAGTATTGGTTTTTTTTTTTATAATGTTGCAATATTTTTGTCGAGAAACCAGAAACCGTTACTCATGCATGTAAACATAACGCTAATGCTCATTTTACATGCATATAATATGTACATCGAAGAATATTATTAACAGAAAATACCAAATATAATATACATAATATACATTACTAACGAGGGGTAAACAGCAATAGATACATAGAGTATTTTGTTTTTTTTTAAAGGATGGGTTTGAGAACTCGGCAGCCTATGTACTTTAAAAGCTGGGACTTGCTTGTGACGGCTTTTTCGTTGGGCTCCCGGGCTCATTTAACGCCACAGAAGCCGGGAGCTCGTCTACCCATAGTAGTACCATTTAAAAAAAGAACGAATTTGTAGTCAGAGCTGCCCAGAACACAGCGCCCCGTGAAATAGGTAATTTGTGTATTGTGGTTCATTTCACGGAATACTTATTCAAGATTGGAGAACATCATTGAGGCCGTCAGCGCAAAACTGGCCTAACCCACAGTTTTTCATATTCGTGCATAAATATTGCAATTTATTCGATATATAATGATTTTATTGCTTATATGGGTGGACGAGCTCACTGCCCACCTGGTGTTAAGTGCTTACCGGAACCCATACACATCCACAATGTAAATGCTGCCACTCACCTTGAGATATGAGTTCTAAGGTCTCAGTATAGTTACAACGGCTGCCCACTCTTCAATTCGAAACGCATTACTGCTCTACGGTAGAAATAGGCAGGGTGGTAGTACCTACCTGTGCGGACTCACAAGACGTCCTACCCACATTTAATTACGCAAATTATAATTTTGCGGATTTGATTTTTATTACACGATCTTATTCCTTCACCGTGGAAGATTATCGTGAACATTGGGTGAGGGGAAGTCAATGGGAAATATCACTAGCTGGCAGATCTTATATGGATAGATCAATCACAGCTCTACCTACGCCCAAAGCACTCAAAGAAGCCTCAGGACAAAGAGCTAGGCAAAGGTTCGATGCATGAATCGACCTGAAAAAAATCAGTCTAGATTCGATAATGGAAGCTAAAACGTCATGGGATATTTCTGGACTTTTTTTTCTTTCAGTGATCAGTTGCGTTTATGGGTGCGAAATGAATGTGTATTTCTTTATTTAATTGAAGTTAAGCGTTAAATTTTATTGCACGTACATAAAAAGGTATTTGCAAAATAAATAATAAGATGTAAATATGAAAAACTAATACTAATAGCGTCTACGTGAAAGCATTATATCGCACCTTTAGAATTATAGAGACCCAACCCAAAAAAAATATTTTGGAAAACATCGAATACAGATTTCAAGCCGAAAAGACGTAGAGGAAGGGGACGGAGTGAAAGAGACCGATGGATAAGTTTGTCCCACTCTAAGCTACTGTTGGTCATTTGAATACTGAGAGTCGCTGAAAAGAGTTGTCCTAGGTCCATTTTTGAATTAAAGTGGATATCCAAAAATTTCGAAATGGTTTCTTTTGCTACTTAAGCTGATAGCCTTGAGAGGCTATGTCAGCGTAACCCAATAAGTAGGTGAGCTCACGGGGCTCAAACCTGACGACGAACCTGACGACGTTGCTAACACTAGCCCTATTTAGAAACCTAGAATATACCACCGGTTCGGAAACGCGACGCATTTAAAAGATCCGGTGAGAAACTCAGTGAGCTTCGGTCTTTTTATTTATTGCTTAGCTGTGTGGACGAGCTCACGGCCCACCTGGTGTTAAGTGGTTACCTAGATATCTACAACGTAAATGTCTCCACCCACCTTGAGATATGAGTTCTAAGGTCTCAGTATAGTAATACTAGGTATAGTCTATACTAATATATAAATCTACAATGGTTTTTACGGATGTTCCGTTATAACTACTGAACCATGCATCCGATTGACTTGAAACTTGTATCTATGTAGGAAATAAATGTACTTAACGGATAGGCTAATATTTATATGAGTGTTGACGCGGACGATCTCCAACACGATGGACCGACCTCATAAAATCTGTGACTCACTCCAACATAAATAATAATTGCTCTCACTCTGCGAAACATCGTGCCACATGGCGTCGCATCGCGAGAGCATCGGTATCGCAGGATCCGACTGATGCATGACCACGAGCACTCTGTCAAGAGTGTACGAATAGGAAGAAGAAGAAGTTGGACTCCCTACACCAGTTGCGGGGGCATTAATGATGAGAATATTTGGAGGAGTAAGAAATAATAATGTTAATTTTTAATGCCCAGCGAAGCGGACGGGTACAGCTAGTCTCTTATAATTCTAAAGGCGCGATATATGTGATGCGTGGGGCGGCGCGGGGTACCTGTGCGGGCAGGCGAGCGGGCTGGCGCCGGCGCGGGCGGTGCGCAGGGCGCGACGCGGTGCGGGCGCGGCCCGGCTGCGAACCACACCGCCACCTCACTAACCGCCGCACTCCAAACAACTCTATCGTTTACACTTCAACGGGACACGTGTCATTGTCGCACACACGTTATTTTTATTTACTAACTTTGAAGTGAAACTTCTAATGCGACTTCCAACAGGGTTGCTTTTTTTCCTACCTAAACTGAGAGCCTTGAGGGGCTATTTCAGCGTAACCTTAACTAGTAGGTGAGCTCACGGGGCTTAAACCTGACGACGTTGCTAACACGAACCCTAGCAAGAGCCGAACTTCGCAGAATCTACCACCGGATCGGAAACGCGACCCACTGAGAAGACCCGGCGAGAAACTCAGTGGGCTGTGTCTGAGGATTAATTTACTCGTCGAGCCCTTCGCCGCAAGCGACGGGTTCGACGAGAACGATGACCGGTGCTTGAGGTACCTAAAAGCACCGTTAGTGGATCGGGAGGATCCGAAATGACGTGACAAGGTCGCGTTAAACGTTTAACGCTACCGTGGAATAGAAAGAGACAGAGCGAGAGTGAACGTGAGGCACTCGAACGCACGCGCGTACTATACCTGTTACAGGCCAGCGCGAGCGTTAGCAACGAGTAGCGTCCAATATTTTAATGAAGTATTTAAAAAAATATAAAAAAATATATAATATAAATCTTGAAGATGTCGCATCTCTTATACACAGCATTCCCTATTACAAGAGTAATCCGATTTAAGGATGAAAAATGAAGAAAACCACAATACTACTTCATCGAAAAAGAAGTTTCACTTCATTCACGCGCACCAAGTTGCACGCGCAGTTCGTTTCTTTATTTTATTTTAATTAATAATATTAAAAGTAATAGTACTATTTTCGATTAACTTCTGCAACTTTGCGTGTCACACATAAATTTATAATTAAACTATTTTTCGACTCGTGCCTTTGCGTTGAAGTATGAACGATGTTACCAGCAAATAGATGGGCAAAAATAAATATAGAGGTCCAGTCCATCCTATCCATGTTAGGTCCGTTGCCTAGCAACCACCCGTCCGACGGTCAGACTGCATGGCAGCTACAGGACCAAAACACACTCCAGATAATAGATAGAAAGGACTGTGGGTGCGACCTTAGAGAGCTACTCGCATACTGCTCGATGTATGGAAGCGACAACTAGTCTTATTTGCAAATACAACAGTATTCGGACCACAGAAGAGTGTTTTTCGTTTGTCGTTCTTTAGCACGCTAACGGTACGACGCAATTTGTCATAAAAGATAAAGCCACATGACGGCGTGTCATTTATTTGTTTTAACCCTTACACCGGTTTTAGCACCGTCTATAGTTCGACTCTCTATATAACGTTTATAAATAACCATTTAAAAAATTATTTTTCTGTGAATTTTGCATTGATTTTTGCATTTTTTTCAAGTTAAAAATGTCAAAAATCCTTTATTTCTGCAAAATATGTGAAGATAAGCTTAGCATTAAAAGGGTTCATTTTCGTGTTATAGTAATAATATCAATTATAAACGACAATATAAACACAAATAAAGAAATTTAAGAATACAAAAACTATTAAACAAATTTCATTAAACAATTATAATACAATTTTTTTTTACATCTATTGTTGATCCCAATGAAAAGTTACACAAATATACGAAAACACACTTCCGTGGCACAAATATATATTTGAAGTTCAGAAGAAACACTTCCATCCAACGAGTTTGTAACAACAAATAAAATAAAATGTATTAAATATAAAAAACAATAAAAAGCTAAAATATATAGCTAATAATATACATCTACACCGTGCGGGGCACACAGCATGCGAACTAATATAGAATAATACAACTACTAACATTTATAAGCATCAAAACGATAAGTGTAATAAAATAATAATCGAAGAGAATTGCAAATAGTCCTCAATTTACCTTTGCTTAATTTTGTTTCTTTTCACGCAACAATTCACTTTAATGTTACCAGGAAATATTATTTTTTCTTTTTGTCAACAACTTGCACTCTCAGTGAACAATACTGAAACAGCTATACAGGCTTAGACCGTTTTCCTCTCCACGACCAATCTAAGCGCATAGTGCATTGACCTAACATAGCTCACACTAAATCATTACCGTGGATTTTCCTACATTCTAAATTTGAACGAGTCTCAGACTCGATTTAACGGTCTTGCATAACTATAAAAAATTAGAAACTTCGCGAATTTGAATTTAGAAGTGTAATTAAATGTGTGCGTCTGTGTGTGCGTGCGTGCGGATACTAACTGCGGTGGCGGCGCGGGCAGAGCGAGTCGCTCGTGTTGTCGCGCGGGGGCGGGGGCGGGGGCCGGGGCGATGGCAGCGCGGGGTCGCCCCGTCGCCATGCCGGCTTTGTTCTGGAACTCCCTGGAACGAATAACGTTCTCATTATACTCTCGGTGCTTTTAGGCTTCTCAAGCACCGGTCTCACCGTCCTCGTCGATTATGACGAAGAGTTTGACAAGCGAACGAATCCATAGACACACACAGCTCATTGAGTTTCTTGCCGGATCTTCTCAGTGGGTAGCGATTCCGATCCGGTGGTAGATTTTGCGAAGCACTGCTCTTGCTAGGACTAGTGTTAGCAAATTCTCTCAGGTTGAGCCCGTGAATTCACCTACCCGTCCGGGGGAATAGCCTCTTAGGCTGATAGCGAATAGGTAGGATAAAAAACAAAACGTGCCCTACACGAGATGGTGTTCCTTAGTTCTACCCTCCGTTGTTAATGGACCACTACATTCTAGTTCGATATTTCTTCTTATATTTCTTTCGATAGTAATATTTTTTTATTGCACCTGATGGTGAGTGGTACCAATGTGAGCGACGGTAACCACTCGGTCGCCACTGGGGGTCAGCAATGTCAGGACCAGAGCCAAGCCGCTGCCTACATGGATATCCCGATAGTCAAGTTCGGCCAAGACTAGATGAGAGGGAGGAAAGATTTTTCGTAGCAAGACACCAACCAGGCTCCCCTTCACATCATCATCAATATCTTTCTTTACAGTATTGCAAGCAAAAGTGTACTAGTATCAGTCCCAGTCATAACCGGAGTATCTCTGGAGCAAATCAGGCGCTAGTTTGGCTTAAATCGATGGGACTATCGTTTTTACAACAAATTTATCTGGTGCCTTCAAATTTACATGTCACACGCGTTGTGACGTCAGCCGGCCCTACGGTGCCGTGTCCGATTAATATCAGGTGCGCCGTGATCAAAGCATCTTGTAACAAATTTATTTTGCCTGTATCCATCACACTGCGCAGAGGACAGGAAGGAATAGAGGATTATAGTCCAAACAAAAGTGTTCCGTAAAGGTCACGACCCTCAGTACTGAGGAGCACGATGAAAGGAGGAGGTGGAAGAGGAGTATCTCACATTAAGTGAAGTTGGTATGAGTGAAGTCGTTAGTCAAAACAATGTTGTGCCATTTTTAATCAGTAAATAAAATAACGTATCAACCAAGCCGTATAATGTATCACCGTTCACAAATTGTATGAAACATTTTAAATTGTTAACAATTTAATAATAAGTAAGTACACGTTTTACACAATTAAAATATACGTTAACGTGTTTTTAATTCATTATCAGCAACAACAACAGCGTAATTAATCGATTGATGATAATTCGACCGCAGAAATATAAAATCATGATTGCGGGTAGGCAGCAGTTGACTTGCCCTGCATTCGATAAGCTCTATGAACTACACAAACGTCAACACTCGTCAATAATTTTGTTTTTTTTTTAGAATTCTCGACATTTAAAGTTTGGTCGCTAAGAGCTACCCAAATAAATGGTTCTTCTTCTTCTCAGTCGTGTCACTCTTGACAGAGTGGTCGTGATCGTCATGTAGTGTTGGAAGGGGCAGACTTGATGCGTCTCACGATGTCGCGCCATTTTAATCTCTATATATATCTACCAAATAAATGTTTTTTTTTTTCCTACCTAAGCTGATAGCCTTGAGAGGCTATTTCAGCGTAACCGTGGCTAGTAGGTGAGCTCACGGGGCTCAAACCTGACGACGATGCTAACACGAACCCTAGCAAGAGCCGTGCTTCGCAGAATCTTCCACCGGATCGGAAACGCGACCCACTGAGAAGATCCGGCGAGAAACTCAGTGGGCTGTGTCTGAGAGTTTAATTTAATTAAAACGATTATAACGCGGTCACCGGTGACCTACGCGGCGCAATTGTGGTAATTTTGGTTATTCCTGTTACTAAGCCCCCAGTTTACCTAAGTTTCCCTTCTTTTGTTTATTAAGGTATGTTTTCGTCTTTTAGGTCTTAGTCTTAGAGATAGGTTCATTCTCAGTACCTTCGGTTTCGTCTTTCCCAGAGTCTACTAGATATTCCAGTGTCTTAGTAAAAGAAAGCGATATAATCATTTCAGTACGCCACGTAGGACACCGGTGACCTACATGGCAGTCAAAGGGTCAAAAGTAATGATGTTAGGATTCTCTTTTTTTTTTTGTGATATCAAGTCACCGCGTTACATGGGATGGGAAAACATTCTTTCAGAGTCCAGACAGAAAGAGATGTTTAAAAAATGGCAGTATTGTCTCGTTCGATATACGACTGCGTATTTTACCTAAATGTCCCGAACTTTTACCAGTGGTGGGACGTCTTGTGAGCCTGACACTTCACCACCACGCATCATCACCTCACCTGTTTTGGCGACTAATCAGTAATGCGTTCCGGTTTGAAGGGTGGCACAGATCTGAGACTTAGAACTCATGTCTGACGGCATGAATGTTGTTCATCCACAATGTGTTCATGTCCACCCATATAAGCGGTGGTGGATTTACACTAGGGGCAGTCGGGGCAAGTGCCCAGGGCGGCAAAATTTTGAAAGTAAAAATTTTTTTTAGTCTTTTCAAAATTGCTCAATATAATTAATTAATTCTAATAATTAATAATTTTCTTTTTAATTAATAATTCAAGAAATTCAATTCATCCATTATTTGTGATGGCACATTGGCACTTTTGGTAAAAATTAATAATCAAAATGATTTAATCAATTTATTTCCTTGGAGATTTAAAATAATTATCGATTTTTCTATTTTCTCTAATGAAAGAAAGTTAATTAGTTTTTTTATGTAATATAATTAAGAGTCACCCTTAGCCAAAATTTATAATTGTTAGAAAAAAAACAAATATTTATTTATGTTTTAGGAATGCACGACATATGATAAATTTTCCGCGATAAATTAGTTGTTTTAATTTTGAAAAATAAAATATATAAACTATAAGTTTAGTTAAAATTACAGTATTGGGGTGGATTTTTTTCCGGTGCCCAGGAGCGGCATTAAGTTTAAATCCGGCCCAGCATATAAGCAATAAAAAAAAATCGGTGTCGACCGGAAAGTGAGTCCCCCCCCACTGTACCTGTCAAAGTCTGCGGCCTCCTCCTCCTCGAGGTTGATGAACTCCTGGCGCTCCTCAGCGTCCCCCGTGTATACGTTTTGTTCGCGCTCGATCACGTGGCCCCGCTCGCCGATGTGGTGGCCTGAAGCAAAACACCGAGAATTCAATTCACATCATAAACGAAATCATTAATTGCCCCTTGTCGATTATCGGTGCTTTTAGGTACCTCAAGCACCGGTCATCGTTCTCGTGGAACCCGTCGCTTGCGACGAAGGGCTCGACGAGTAAATTAACCCTCAGACACAACCCACTGAGTTTCTCGCCGGAGTGGGTCGCGTTTCCGATCCGGTGGTAGATTCTGCGAACCACGGCTCTTGCTAGGGTTCGTGTTAGCAACGTCGTCAGGTCTGAGCCCCGTGAGCTCACCTACTAATTAAGGTTACGCTGATATGATCTCTCTAGAACATCAGCTTAGGTAGGAAAAAAATCGATTATCGATAACGTAATGTACCAAATGTTAATAATAATTCTCCCACAAAACCGTTGAATACTATTTTTGTGTTTTGTTTTATATAGGGACACGTTTATAAATGCATTATGTTAACGACGCGCATGCAATTATTGCATTACTGTACGCCAGTTGCCGGACGCCTGTCTGAAGTCGTCGTGGCGTAAAGGGTAAGTCGTCCGGTGCATTCGTATCTATCGTTCTAGCGATGCACCGGTGTTCGAATCCCGCAGGCGGGTACTAATTTTTCTGATAAAATACGTACTTAGCAAATGTTTACGATTGATTTCCACAGTAAATGAATAACAGGGTATAATAAAAATCAAACCCGCAAAATTATAATTTGGGTAATTACTGGTGGTAGGACCTCTCGTGAGTCCGCACGGGTAGGTACCACAACCCCTGCCTATTTTTACCGTGATGCAGTAATGCGTTTCGGTTTGAAGAGTGGGCATCCGTTGTAATTATACTGAGACCTTAGAACTCATGTCTATGGGCTCCGGTAACTACTTAACACCAGATGGGCTATGAGCTCGCCCACCCATCTAAGAAATAAATATAATAATAACAGAAAACTTCCCGAATATCCAGTGTCACAGTTATTCAAAGAATTCGTTTTATTTACAGCTACCCACGTATTAACCATTAAAAATAACTCTAATACGACTGCTATACGGACGAAAAAGACGTCATGGCTTTGAAAATAATATAATAATAGAGATGAATGACTCCCACGGCGCGTCTCGGTGACTGAATAGGGTTGATACGCGCTGTTTTTTTTTCAACACTGAACTATATTAAAATTCACACAATAACACTTTTGTTTTACGCATTTCCAAACTTTATATAGGCTGTAAGATTCCGTGTCCGTGTCCAGAATCTAATCCGCTTTTGAATTAATCCGCAATTTAACATGTAACTAAAATGCCGAGTCTAATGGGAAAATACGAGAATACTATATAATAACAAGAAACCAAAGTTCAAATTTGTGTAAAGCTGCGTTGTAGAATGGATAATAAATAACAGTTTGACTTAAACTTTAAACAGGCTTAGAAAAGCTTGTAATGAGCACGACCGGTTTCACCGTGAGCAAGTCAGCAAATTCCGAAATTGGGATATTGGGAATATGGAAATGGGTCGTAGGGTTACTTAGTTTGGAGTAGCTCTAAATAAACAGATTATCGAATGTATAAATTACATTCGTAATCCGTGTATTATCAGCCAAGATTACCATGGTCACTCGGAACTCGTCAATTACAACGAAGAGTTCGACGAGGGCACTAACCCATAAACGCAGCCCACTGAGTTTCTCGCCGGATCTTTTCAGTGGATCGCGATTGTGATCCGGTGGTAGATTTTTTTTTTTTTAGATGGTTGGACGAACTCACAGCCCACCTGGTGTTAAGTGGTTACTGGAGCCCATAGACATCCACAACGTAAATGCGCCACCCACCTTGAGATACAAGTTCTAAGGTCTCAAGTATAGTTACAACGGCAGCCCCACTCTTCAAACCGAAACGCATTACTGCTTCACGGCAGAAATAGGCAGGGCAGTGGTACCCACCCGCGCGGACTCACAAGAGGTCCTACCACCAGTAATTACGCAAATTATAATTTTGCGGGTTTCATTTTTATTACACGATGTTATTCCTTTACCGTGGAAGTCAATCGTGAACATTTGTTGCGTACGTATTTCATTAGAAAAATTGGTAGCCGCCTGCTGGATTCGAACACCGATGCATCGCTTCAACACGAATGCACCGGACGTCTTATCCGTTAGACCACGACGACTACTAAATATTCAGTATTCATATACGTAGATTCAGGTAAGTACTGCCTCTGCTAGAGCTAGTGTTAACAAATTCTCTCAGGTTGAGCCCGTGAGCTCACCTACCCGTCCGCACGTAGCTAGAATAACCTCTTAGGGTCAATTCCCACTGAAAGAGCAGCGGCCGGCAGCGTCTTTTTGAGGCAAAATATTACAAACTATTTTGAATCTTATCTACGTAATTAAAAAGTTCATAGTCATTTGAAGGCAAAGGAGGGGTAGCGTGGCGTCGCGAGGCTGCACGAGCCTTCTACCGACTAGTCAAAAGAGGCGCTGCGCGGCTGATCGCGGCACAGCTAGCTGACGTGCGGCCGACCGCGGTGCAGCAGACAGACTCGTTTTACCATATTTATTGCCACACAACTTTCCTTGAGTGAAGTAGATCGCACACTAGTTTTCACCTCGTGACCCTAAGGGTCAATTCCCACTGAAAGAGCAGCGGCGCGCAGCGGCCGTAAGAGCAAGTGACTGAGCGCGGCGCCGCAAGGGGCAGTGTGGCGCCGCGCGGGGCAGTGCGGCGCTGCGAGAGGCAGCGCGGCATCCCGAGGCGCCGCAATGAGCCTCCGCGTGGTAGCTTTGAAAACTAACTTGATACCCTCTAATAAAATGACGCGAAATGCGCAAGCGGCAGGGCGGGCGGGTATGAAATGGTCGCTCGCGCGCAGCCGCGAGTCTGTCAGCTGCGCCGCGATCAGCCGCGCAGCGCCTCTTTTGACTAGTCGGTAGAAGGCTCGTGCAGCCTCGCGACGCCACGCTACCCCTCCTTTGCCTTCAAATGACTATGAACTTTTTAATCACGTAGATAAGATTCAAAATAGTTTGTAATATTTTGCCTCAAAAAGACGCTGCCGGCCGCTGCTCTTTCAGTGGGAATTGACCCTTAGGCTACCAGGGAATTGGTAAGGAAAAAAATACCAAGTTCGAACATTTACAATATTTCACTAGCGCTATCAATATGTTTACGTTACAATCACAGTTCAACAGGAAATTCTGTGGTGTAAATAAACGTTACGCTAAAATTTATTTCAGACTTTTTAGAATTGATAGCGATCTTCTATTGAGTTTCGTAACTATTTTACCCAAAGTGTCTACGTAAATTCATTTATCAGGCTAAGCTTTAAAGATACGATGTTTTCTGTTAATAGCAGCGTAATTAATTTATAATATAAATGCCCCCTTCCCACATCTCAATTCTCTCCCACATCAGACATCATTCGAAACTCATCAATATAACAATTAGCTAACAACTTGGAGGCCGCATCTACCCAACCGTAACTACTACATATAACCGTGTTAAAAAAGTGTAATTTTTATTTTTCACATTGATATGGTATGAATCTCAAAAGTTATTCAGAATAGGATTCGCGTAAAATTTGCTCTTAGTACGCACGCACGCTCGCACACACGCACGCACACACACACATTAGGTATGGACATTTTATAAGATAGTGGGATAGCTGGTGGTTCGAAGGTTTTCCAGCTTCGCCTAGACGCGCGGGTGAGCACAGGCACTGCCAGGAGAGGTGGGATTTGCTAACAGCTGCCCGAGCGGCTCCGACAGAGTCCGGACAGCTCAAGGGTAGCTGCTTCGCGAATTATACCGGAACAGAATAGGGACTCGAATTTTTTTTATTGCTTAAATGGGTGGACGAGCTCACAGCCCACCTGGTGTTAAATGGTTACTGGAGCCCATAGACATCTACAACGTAAATGCTACCACATTACTTGAGGACATGAGTTCTAAGGTCTCAGTATAGTTACAACGGCTGCCCCACCCTTCAAACCGAAACGCATGACTGCTTCACGGCAGAAATAGGCAGGGCGGTGGTACCTACCCGTGCGGACTCACAAAAGAGGTCCTACCACCAGTGCTTACGCAAATTATAATTTTTGCGGGTTTGATTTTTATTACACGATGTTATTCCTTCACCGTGGAAGTCAATCGTGAACATTTGTTAAGTACGTATTTCATTAGAAAAATTGGTACCCGCCTGCGGGATGCGAACACCGGTGCAACGCTCAATACGAATGCACCGGACGTCTTATCCTTTAAGCCACACGACGATACGAACTCTCGAAGAGTTTGACGAGAAACCTAGTCTATATATACTATGAGCACTGTAAATTTCTCGCCGGATCTTCTCAGCGAGTAGCCTGTGATTTAATACCATCGAGAAAAGCTAACGAGAGTGCGAGGTATCTGTTGAGGGCTATTATCTAACTAATGTCTACATCACACTAAGTTATATTTGTTATTCAATCTCTCAATCGGAATAATAATGAGTTTACAAATTTCCTGCCAATTTCCTGTCTTATATTTTTTTGCAAAGTGTAAACAAGTTCTCCGCCCACCTCGCCTAGTGTGTATCGGAACCCATAAACACAATACCCAAAATTATATAAGATATTAAATTTTCTAGAACTTCATAACCCTATTTAACTGAACATTTAACTAACATTCTCGAATGTAGAAAGACGTATAAACAATTTACATTGTGGTTAGTATTTAGAAATTGCGAAAAGTGTTATGAAGGTTAACACGTTATTCGATTGAGAAAAACTAATTTCGCGCCTTTGTTACGTTTTGTATTAATTTTATTACACATTTTAAAACTATACTTCACCACACCAATATTTTTTTCATTTTCGACAACCCTAACTTTCGTACACGCAGAACATAGTTGACGGTAAACATAATAAAAACGCGCGATGTTTTGATAACATAATTGGAGGCTTTCTCCAAATCAAATCGCAAAAGCACAAGGCTTTTCGGTATGTGTTAATACTTTTTAGTTATTTATAGTCTACTAGTGGTAAAACAAACAGTTCTTTCAAGAGTGAACGTTGTTAACTCCTTTCTATTCTGTATTCGGGACTTGGTAATTGACGCAGTTGACGTACAGGATGAGCGGAACGATGAATGAGAAAAAAGCGATCAAAGAAAAGCGACAGATAATATTCAATCAATTTTAAATTATATTTAACAAGGACAGTGACAACCCTAAACGACCCGAAAAATAAATATGTATTACGAAAATAGGATCAGACTATAATCAATTTCGACGTAGAAGCATCTAGATTTTCGTGGTTATCAATTCGAAATATGTTTATAAAACAGATCCGTGCGTTTTGTTTGTAGCAAAAAAAACATGCCGAATTCTCTTTATGTTTGCTTTCTAGTCTTACATGTTAAATCTTTAAAACCATAAAAAAATACTATTTTGTGTTTATCCGAATCTCAGATTTTAATAGAGATTTAGACAAGAAACTAAATCAAAAAAATGTGGTTGAGTTGAAAAGATTACATTTCAATTTCCATTGTTTTGCCACTCACACAAGGAAACAAGTCTTGAACAACAAAAACCAAACATTGTACCTTTGTAATGTGAGTGTGTGTGTGACGATTATACTAACTCAATTACACAAATATTACAGGCATTAACATACTATAACTAATCAATGAACATCATTACTATTTCTAAATGTGAGCAAGTTTGAGATTAAGTTGTTAATTTATGGTTTTCAATCCTTCCAGTTCACAAAAGTCAGAGTAAATATTGCTTCTATTTTTAAGGCATTTGTTCATAGTCTTATTTCCATTGAAATAAGAGCTATTGAATCATCTGTCAACTATTGGCATCATCATCGAGATAATCGTGACACAACATCCATATTTAAAAAACATAATGCTGTAGACAGCAGACTCCAAACTTGTAGACCATTCAAGTCGTCGTGGCCTAAAGGATAAGACGTCCGGTGCATTCGTGTTGAAGCGATGCACCGGTGTTCGAATCCCGCAGGCGGGTACCAATTTTTCTAATGAAATACGTACTCAACAAATGTTCACGATTGACTTCCACGGTGAAGGAATAACATCGTGTAATAAAAACCAAACCCGCAAAATTATAATTTGCGTAATCACTGGTGGTAGGACCTCTTGTGAGTCCGCACGGGTAGGTACCACCACCCCGCCTATTTCCGCCGTGAAGCAGTAATGCGTTTCGGTTCGAAGGGTGGGGTAGCCGTTGTAACTATACTGAGACCTTAGAACTTATATCTCGAGGTGGGTGGCGCATTTACGTTGTAGATGTCTATGGGCTCCAGTAACCACTTAACACCAGGTGGGCTGTGAGCTCGTCCGTCCATCAAAGCAATAAAAAAAAAAAAAAAAAAAGACCACATCCAACGGCTATCTTAAAACCATAAGCTTTGGGTGTCCCTAAAGTTTTATGTAAACAAACAATTTATTCCCTGCAAATCTAAAAAAACCACTCGACATACCTATGGCCATTTTCTTTGTGCCAGTTCTTGAGTCCTGGAGTGTCTTGCGGGTTTCTTTAATACCATTGGGACCAACTTTTGTACTGCTTGTAGAACTGTACACCTGGAATAATAAATTAGGCTGTAATTTAAACTATTAAGTGCCTGAAGACAAAAAGGATACTATGTACTACTGATCTGAACATTCTATTTCTATTCTATATCAGTCCATAGACGTCCGCCGCTGGACATAGGCCTCTCCCAAGCCTCGCCACAAAGCTTGCATTCAATGGATCCCCGTGAATCCCAATAGATTTCCAGTCCATACCACTGTTCTTCCGGCCGGTCCTTCAAAACACTAATAAAAATGCAGGCTATGGAGCACTATGAGTAGGGCATATTGTATAATGTAAACCTGCAGGAGTAGGTACCACCATTTACCTGTTATGTTATGTTGAATGTTGATGAACACTAATACTAGTAAATTATAAGACTACAGTAATTTATACCATCGATTACTGAACATTAGACACTACTCGAATTTGTTAGTTTTATCAGAGACAAATAAAATTGGATATGTTCAGATCCCATGATCTGCTTGATCTTAAATTATTATCATTGCAGTATCATACAGGGAAGTTTCTGTGAACCACCGGACACTTTTCAAGTTAATTGAAGGAATGTTTCATGCGGTCAAGAAACACTCCCAGATACTTGCATCCAATTTATAACATTCTCATGCTTTCACTACACAAAATGTTGTTAATTTTATCATTTTCTTAGATTGTAATATTTAATAGAATTTTTACAGGATACAAACCATAGTTTTTCTAATTATATTAGAGAGAGACTAGTGAACTTTATTGTACACAAAAAAAAAATGCTATACATTAAATACAAAAAAGTACAATTGGCGGTATTAGTATATTTTACCTGGGGTTTACCGTTCGGACCACTGGACATCACAACGGTACTGCTGCTGAAAGAGCTGCCTGCACTCATATTTCCACCATCCATATCTGTCCAAATAAAAGTTAATAGTAAAAGTGCTGGTCACCTACAATGAATGTATTTTCATTGATTAAAATTGTGTTATTGACTGAGTTATATTAAAATACAGTAAAGGCATGTTCGCACGCTTATTTTTGTCTGTGTGTTTTTTCACAAAATAAATGTTTGCATTGCATTTATTTCTTGTGTGAACAATCCATTCGCACCTTACCCATAACATGCTTGACTAACAATTTGGTAGTTATTTTTGGCATTTAATGAAAGAAAGATACATTTTTAAGAAATGAGATTGTGATTTGAGCAAAGACACTACGGAATAAAAGTTAGTACAGATTGTAATACTTAGAGAATATAACTTATCTAATTTTATTGTTTGATCTAAATTAAAAAAAAATGGTAAAAATTTGTTTACTTTGTTTCTCTAATTTTAGCAATATCATCTCAACTTTTGGTTTTCTCAATAAAAAAAGACCTCTGGATTAATATGTATTCTGTGTGTAAGATGACATTTCTTTAAATACACAATTGATTTGATCATAAGGCTCCCAAGTCTAAAAAATGCGAGAAGTAGTGACCAGCATCTACATACAGATCATCAACACAGAGCATCATAACAACAATATCACAGACCAACTTAAAATGAGATTAAATTCTCATTTCTGTTGGAATACTGGTTATATGACCAAACTGGAGGCTAGGTATTCTGTAAGGCTGAAGTAGGTAGGACGGTAGTATCGGCTGGACTTAAAATATCAATGCAATGATAGCTATGCAATTTAGATTCCATAAACAAATACTTTTGTCTATAGTGTTATTTAAAAACCCCCATAGTTCTGCAGGTTAACATTTGTTTCAATTATTCAAGATAATTACCAAATAAGTTTTCTAGTACTTAAATTAAAAATGAATGATGTATACTAAAATTTACTAAGGGGCATTTTATTGATACATAATTAACAAAATCCAGTTTATAAGAAATTACATTTCTTTAAGCCCTTGTTCAGATAAATAAGAACACAAGCATTAAACATTTATTGATCAGTAGTAACTAGAGCATTTCCATATAACAACATAAATGACATAGCCTACCAATAAAAAGTAACCATGCCTCAATAAGCATTTATCACATCAGTGATTTAAGTTTTTATATTGTGTGTACATCAACATCAGTAATTTATTTATAACTAGCGACCCGCCCTCGCTTCGCTTCGGAAACATTAAAACACACATGAAACCAAAAAATAAAATAAAAAAATAAATAAAAAAAGTAGCCTATGTTCATCAGGGACAATGTCGGCTTCTAATGGAAAAAGAATTTTTCAAATCGGTCCAGTAGTTTCGGAGCCTATTCGAAACAAACAAACAAACAAATCTTTCCTCTTTATAATATTAGTATAGATCATATTTAAAATAGGTAAATATAAAACAATTTTTAGTAACTTTATACAAAGGTAGTTTACAGCTGTAAACATTGTTGGCCTGATGTTCCTTATCATGTGAAAAATCTACTAATTTTTTGTGTTGCAATAATCATCGACTCTAGCTCTTTATTGAATAAACTAGACATTTCAATTTAACAGACATAATTAGCAAAATTTACATACTAATTACGTTATTTTTAATAAAGACCTACCTCTAAAAAGTCGATTCATCGAAGGCATTTGTGGCATAAATGGCATCAATGCGGTGTTATGCCGTGGTCCCATAATCGCCATGTGGTTCTCACCACCGAACATCCCGAAGGGGTCCGCGAACAGAGAGTTCATCATGTTGTTCATCTGACGCATGTGCCGCATGTGCGACCTAAAGGAAAATAAGTCTAGAACATCGATCCAGGCGAAATGTATTGCTTAGGTACCGAGTGATTATTTCAGGTGTTAGATCAATGTGTAACTCTACGCTTTGTTCTGTTGGCCAGTTTAGAGCAACAATACGTTATAAAACTTTAAATTTCGACAAGAATTCACCTTAAATATTTTAATAACATACCCGAAAAATGGATCGTCCTCCACGTCGGCCATCAAGGACCCAAACAGAGACATATTAATGCACTGTTACCAACAACTCACAATTCACAAGTAGAATAAATTTAAGATTCAATAATAACACTACTATTTGATCGTGTTTTATTACTTTATTAGTGGTTACGGGCACCGGAATGAAATCGTTTCGAAAACTCTAGCAAATAGCAATGTTCGGGAACCGAAATCCACAAACCTCTTTACACCACAGACTAAATTTTAATAGACAGGTATAGGTCGGTATGTAATGTATGTATGTACCACTGATAGGTTAGTGCTGACCTGCCATTGCCATCGTGTAAATTGATTTCAAGCCAGTACAGTACTGTCGCGTCAGTACTGACTTCAATATTCCCGCTTCATATTTTTCGGTGTCAGTGCGTTGCACCACATCACAAAATGAAGCGAAAAGTAAACGAAACGGCGAACTTAAAGATTATTCAACTATACCGCGATAATGAATGCTTGTGGGATAATAAATCACAAAATTATAGTTTTTTTTTTATTGCTTAGATGTGTATAAGAGCTGACAGCCCACCTGGTGTTAAGTGGTTACTGGAACCTATAGACATCTACAACGTAAATGCGCCACACACCTTGAGATATAAGTTCTTAGGTCTCAGTATATTTTAGTTACAATAGCTGCCCCACCCTTCAAACCGAAACGCATTACTGCTTCACGGCAGAAATAGGCAGGCGGTAGTACCTACACCCGCGCGGACTCACAAGTGGTCCTACCACCAGTAATTACGCAAATTATAAATTTGCGGGTTTCATTTTTATTATACGATGTTATTCCTTCACCGTAGAAGTCAATCGTGAACATTTGTTGAGTACGTATTTCATTAAAAAAATTGGTACCCGCCTACGGGATTCGAACACCGTTGCATCGCTTCAACACGAATGCACCGGACGTCTTATCCTTTAGGCCACGACGACTTCAATAATGAAATGCGCGCAACAGCAATACTGAATATTGGCTGGCAAGGCGTCTCTCATAAATGTGTCTTGACGCTGTGTAGAGCTTGATAACTTCATAAAAAAATCATCAAAGTCTTTTGGCGTCATTGTTATAGCCAGTTTCTATTTTCCAGGATCTTCAATTCTCAACTGGGTTAACAACAGAGCTGAGCTTCCAGTATAATCGCTGTCACCTATCCATTCTCTTACCCAAAGTCGCTTCTTTTTAGATATTTCTTCTAACATACCAGTTAGTTCTTGCATCATCACAAAGGTACATTGTATTTTCTCAACAAATTATTATCTGATTTTTCATTGTTTTCAATAATTCATTTTTCCACTCTGACTTTACGAACGTGTGTACACCGAAATATCCTCGACTAATGACGAAATACTGACTGCATATAAATCGTATGAGTCAGTTTTCGGTGCCAGCACTGACGTTAGTTACTGACTCAATTAAATCTGCGTTTACACTTTAAAATCAATGCTCTTCAGGTTTTTTTTTCTTCAAATTGTCAACTTGAGTTTCTTTAGATGGCCAAGGGAGATAGGCCATAATGTCAATTTTTTTGCAAAAATGTTGACATTATATGTATGGTATAGTAACCGGCAAACATCGTGAGCAAATGACCTTGACTGCGCAGAACCGAATTTTAGATCACTTTGGTGGTGAGGGTGAGGCGCGACGGCAGGGGAAATCGTATCGAGCGCGTTATTGGTAGATCAGTCGAACCTTGCGTCCCGCACCGCGCCTTCGTTCCGCTTGCTCCCAAAAGTACGCTTGCGTACAGTGAAAAGTCTATCGTTATTAATCGTTAAGTTATATTTTGTTATAATTGCTTGTTGACTTTGTTGCCATTGCTATTTGTTGAGTGTTTGTTGATTTTTTATAAAAAATACACTATGCCGCGACAAACTGGTGTAGTATTCAAAAGAAAGGGTAGAAAAATTGTGTACGACGTATATTGCTTCATTATAAAACAGGGGAAGAATGATATTATGGAAAAAGTAAAACAGACTTCGGAAGCAACAAAAACATCAGTGAGTACTGTTAGGTGCATTATTAACGAAGCTAAAGGCTCTGGCTTGCTCATCGTGCTTGGGACTCCGGGTAAGAAAAGATCAGGGAAGAAGAAAGTTACCGGAATGGATAGTTTCGTTCAATCTGTAATAAAAAGATGTAATCATAATAACTACATAACAGGCAGCGAAACTCCGTACCGTAAAAAGGCTTCGAAAATTTTAAAGAAGATATACATTTTAATGGCTCGGAATGAAGTTTACGACGAATTATGAAAGAGCTAGGCTTCAGATGGAAAAAAAAAACAGAAAATAATCGGAAGCTGGTAATTGAAAAAAGTAACATTCGATTACTACGAATCGAATATCTTCAAAAAATAATTAATTATAGACAAAAAAGAAGATCGAACCGACCGAGTCGTAAACTACACCGATGAGCCCTATGTCGACTTATCACGATGATGGCGACTCGGGTGATGAAAACAGTGATGATGATAATGGTCAAGATTATGATAACGAAAAAAAATTACAAATACCAGCTTCGCTTCAACTGAACGAAGACCTGGCAACAGCTCTAGTTTTGACTTAATAGAATGAATATCTATTTTACCCCAAGATTAAATTATTATAATTATTAACCTATATTTTTTGTTGATGTTCTAATAAATATATAAATAAATACATATGTTGATTTTAATAATTTAATAGCATTATGACGCAGAGTAAATAAGGTTTTTGCACGTGAGTGTACCATGCGCAAACTTACCCCCACTACGTCAACAAATGCTCAAGAAGTTTGCCGGCTATTATACATTTACATTAATAATACTTTGTTGTTCATGACCACGAAAATAATAAGGCATTTAAAACATCGAAAATAGAAAATCACGAGATTGAACCATAAAAGTAGTTTTAATTTTACTACATTGGGTTCAGCTGAAAATTAACGCTACAACAGTGCCGCGACTTGCTTTCCCATTCTCAATCATTTTTTGGAAAATTAATAATTTTTGTAGATTACATTAGCTTTTGGTTCTCAATGCTATAGAAGCTGTTTATTTTGATCTCTGGGGTTTTCGTATTTCATTAGTTAGTAGTAGTTCCCTAATAAATTAGGTAGGACAAGCAGATATAACGAAAACACAAGAGCTCCGCTTACTGCCTTTTAACTACGGAATCGTAATAAGCCATTGATTTCGAAATTCATATATTTTCCATTATTAAACAACATTAAAACATAACACCAAATTTACAGCCTAGTTTTGTAACGTTGATTGGCAGTTACAGGTGGACCTCGGTTACCATGGAATGACCATGCGGTCGAGGTTGGGTAAGACGTATATACCATATCTTGTAAGCCGTTCCGACATTTGGCACTCTTAGTTGTTTCGCTCTGAAATAAGAAATATTTATGAAAAAAAGGCATAGTATTCTAAAAAAGAATATCTAGTTTTAAAGCTCTAAATACTCTAAAACCAGACTATAACATTAACTGCAAACCTTTTCAGGGACACCAAGTTTATTAATTGAAGCATCACCACCTTGCTCGAAGGTTGCCTCAAGCCTTTTAGGCTGTAATGGATTATTGCGCAACACATCACCACCTTCTTTCTCAACCAGAGCTTGATGGTGGACATCAGTTTGCGCAGTTCGTAAACGTCCTTCCGAAGCAGATGTCACATTCAGATGTTCTTGAACATTCTGCTGAGTATGAGACTGCGAGCCTTTGTACTGATTATAAATATGCTGCAACTGATTCTTGCTGGGAATTTTCCCTATAGACTTGTGACCAATTATAGATGTTTTGCTAACAGTGGACTTAATATTCTTGTAACTACAATCGTTTTTAAATTTTCCTGTCGTTGGTTGAGGTGCTAGCGTTTGCGGAAGACTAGGGGCAGGGCTGTGGAAGAGTTTCGCTGGAAGCATTTCCACCGGCTGACCTAAGGTATTATATTCGCGGTGTGACTGATGTTTCGACGTATCTATTGGAAATATCGGCTCTTTAATATTTTCTTGCTGAATACCAGGTTTGTTTTGCTTTAATACATTTGCGTTTTCATTTAACTGAACATTAGTCTCAATCATTGTCTGAGGTAATTGGTGGGTAGCTGTTGCAGGATTTTGGTCAGTAGCAGGTTGAAGCAATTGCGGTGGAGGAGCTTGATTAAGTGCAGATAATTGCGGATGGTTCATTTTCTCAGTATTATCAACAATCGCTTTGTGCATGGCATTAATGACGGCCTTTTGTTGATTTTCTGGATTCATTTGTATCGCTATGGCCATTGGATCAAAATTCAAATCTCCGCCTAGTCCTTGCATTACCCCTGGAAACATTTCATTGAATTTTGTTATCCCTTGGTCGTGAGGCCCTGCGTGATGTTTTGTTAACTGTTGTATTCCTGGGTTTGTAGGATTGCCTGTTAATTGTGGTACTGCCACCTGGCTCATTTGGACATTAGGTATTATATTTTGATACACATTTTGTTCATTCCGATTGACATTTCCATTCAAGGGTATCCGATTTCCATCACCAATTGCAGAAGGGCCGTCAATAAAACCTTGCTGCGCACTCGCTCCCTGAAGTCTTGATGGGCTACTGGGCACTTGGCCCGCAATGTGACTTTCTTGAATCTTTGGCTTATTACCGCTACTACCCATTACCATGTTAATAATTTCGGGACCCATCCCTATTTTTGCTGGATTATTTACACTCGGAATGTTCTGTGTTAAATTATTTAACGGGGTTTGTCCTGATTGTAATGGAAGACCGATTTGAGATGCTATTGGGTTATTCATCACAGTGTTTGCTGGGCTGATAGTGTTTAGATCATGATAAACTTCCTTGACAACTGGTTGCATTAGTTTTTCATTTAAATAGTTATAAGTGTCAGCATAAAGTTTTGGTGGATTGCATTGACCAAAGCAAGGTCTATTTACATGACTAGAGCCTGCAGGATAACCTGATTCACTAGAGTATGGATTGATGCAGCCATGCCCGTGAGAACCACAGCTATTGTGACTGTGACAACAGGCTTGTTGACAACTTCCATGATTTGTAGAATAACTGTTTGCTAAGTTCTGAGGATTATTATCAGAATTAGAAAAGATTTTCCCCATACAGCCACTGTAAGAAAAGATAAAATTAAAGAAAAATTATAAAGTCTACAACTTATTGGTATATTTTTTTTTTTGCTAACAAAATATCTAGCATTATCAACACCCTGTTATGTCCAATTCAGTACATAACTCTAACTCAGGCCAGTTTTTAGATTCATTCTTCTAAACTCAATTTAATATTAGTTGGCGTTCGGAGTGATCGTATCATAGCAAATTCCAAAGTTGATCCACATTTACTAAAATATCTACTTATTAATTAATGGTCTTATTAATAACTTATTAATGGTCAAATAAGCAATTGAAATTTGGAATTTATAGATTTATACCGATGAACTAGGACTTACCAATCAGCACTTTTTAATTGATTCATAACACTACCCAATTCACTTAAAATTCTTTGTTTATCTAAGGCCATTACGAAAAATTTTCAACACATAAAATTTACAAATTATTTTTAAATTTAGTTACAAGCTAAATAATAAAAACCACTATTGATTTAGAATGTCAAAATCAAATTAAGAAAACAAAGTACTAAGCCTTTTTTTAATATGTTATAATAACTATTTAAAAAGGTTACACGTATTTGCATTTGTATAATAGCTTCTAATAATACTCAGATCTTTGGGATATAACAGTAGGTCCCGTCTAAGTCGGAAAGGAGGTCCTGGTTGGGGTTTAGTCGGTAGTCGTTCTGCGTAGCGGGACACGAGCACCTTTTCGGGCGCCTTTCCAAAGGCGTAGTTTTCTAGAATCAATTGGAAAAATCCGGTCTCGACCCCCGTCGGCCGGGTACCCGTAAATTATGATTCCCTATTGATATGTACCAAAAAAAAGGTAGTAATTAATATTTTAGATTGTTCATTCAATAACCATCTAAATTTAAATACAGTAAATTTTTTGTATTAAAAATGTGTACCGATTACATTAGTAATTTAATGAAGGTGTAAAGAAAAAGTTTATACTAAAGAGTGAAGTAATTTAAGGGAATTAAATTCGTATCATTTCCCCTATTTTTACATAAAAGCGTGGATTTTGTAACATTAATTAAAAAGTAAGTTAGTCAACTAGACGTTATTTTTTTAATCATGTATAAACAACAACTTTCGTGTGATACGATAGTGTAGTAAGTACTTGGCAAACCTAACTGCGGGAGCGAGCGTTACTTTAGGCGAACTGTAATATAACGAAAAATACCTTTTGATCTTCGTCTAGGTTTTTAGTATTTTTATTTGTAAATATTTACATAATATGCGTAAGTATGAATATCAGTACTACCTGGCTCTCTTAATGCAGATTGCTACAAAGTTTTACAGAGTACTTTTTTGGTGTATGATATCTATGAATGTGTCGTGTCAAGTCATGATAATTTCAGTCACGTGATCACTCAGTCGCAGCGAAATTGGACTTTGACGGTCGTTCTGTCGACATTCTAAGATATTTATTATTATCTCGAGATATTAAGTTTATCTGCCGTATCAGTAACTCAAGGAGTAGACTATACCACCAGCGGATCAATTCGGATTCAGAGTTCCGGCTCGCCTGTCGTCTACCGTGAGGTATAGTAATTATTATTATAACAATGCCTAGAAAAGTGTACGTCGTTGGCGTCGGGATGACGAACTTCGTCAAGCCCTCTACCGGAGGTGACTATCCCGACTTCGGCAAGGAAGCGGTGTTAGAGGCCCTGGCTGACGCTCGTATTAAATACGACGACATTCAACAGGCGGTCTGCGGCTATGTGTTCGGTGACTCGACCTGCGGACAGCGCGTGCTGTATCAGGTCGGAATGACCGGTATTCCCATCTACAATGTTAATAACAACTGCTCCACAGGCTCAAATGCATTGTTTTTATCGAAACAGCTTATTGAAGGAGGCATGTGTGATGTAGCACTTGCCGTAGGATTCGAGAAAATGGCTCCCGGTGCTTTGGGAGGTGGTCATTTCGATGACAGAACCAACCCAATGGACAGGCACACACTTAAAATGGCAGAAATTGCTGATTTAACAGGAGCTCCCATTACAGCACAATACTTTGGTAATGCTGCCATAGAGCACATGAAAAAATATGGAACGACAGAGCTCCATCTAGCTAAAATTGCAGCCAAAAATCACCGTCATGGAGTTAAAAATCCGAGGGCTCAAGGCAAAAGAGAATATACAGTAGAAGAAATTCTGAATTCGAGAAAGATTTACGGTCCTCTCACCAAACTGGAATGCTGTCCGACCAGTGATGGTGCAGGTGCAGCTGTCCTCATGTCTGAAGAGGCTGTCATCCGTTATGGACTACAAGACAAAGCTGTAGAGATAATTGGAATGGAGATGGCAACTGACACTCCTGCTTTATTTGAAGAGAACAGTCTGATGAAAGTGGCCGGGTATGACATGACCAAATTGGCTGCAAGCAAATTGTATGCCAAGACTGGAATTTCACCAAAACAGGTAGATGTTGTGGAACTCCATGACTGCTTTGCTGCTAATGAGATGATCACATATGAAGGCCTACAGCTATGCGGTGAAGGTGAAGCAGGAAAATTCATTGATTCAGGCAATAACACTTATGGAGGCCAAGTTGTAGTCAACCCAAGTGGTGGTTTGATTGCTAAGGGTCATCCTCTCGGAGCAACCGGCCTGGCCCAGTGTGCAGAACTCAACTGGCAATTAAGAGGAGAGGCTGGAGAAAGACAGGTTGGTTGATTGTTGGTTGGGTCATGTGTTTTGTGATGTCAAAACGTAAATGTAACATTGTCTCTGTGTGCGTGGGAGTTTCAAGTCTCAAGTTAATACTACGGTTCAAGTTCTTTAGCTACTTTGAAGCAAATCTGAAATATTGGCAACAACGGTAATGTAAAATATTGCCTGTTTAATTGCAACACCAATTTAACTTGTTGAATCTGACATTTTTAACTTAAAAAATTACTATAAATTATTGAGAAGGAACAGAAGCTAACACTTCTTCAATTACATGTTAGGGATCTTTATCCCTACTCACACATAAAACTTATCTAGTCATAAATACCACCTGGTATGCTAATGAAGGAGAAGGAGGCTGACCATAATGTATTTTATAATATTATTTATTGAGATGGCATGGCACCTGTTATGTGTTGCAGTATCTAATGTTTTGTCCAATTCTGACTTTACAAAATATGATTGGTAGTTATGGAGCCATAGACAGAAGAACATACCTACATTATTTTTATATTGTTTGCATGGGTGGATGAGCTTGTAACCCACCTGGATTTAAGTGGTCACCGAAGTCCTTAATCATCAACAGCATAAATGCTGCCACCCATCTTGAGACATGAGTTCTAAGTATACATTATTACATGGCTGCCCCTTCCCTTCAAACCGAACCGCATTACTGCTTCACGGTAGAAATAGGCAGGGTGGCGGCACCTACCCTTGCGGACTCACAAGACGCCTTAGAACCGGTAATTACAAATTATAGTTTTCGCTAGTTTGATTTTTAAAACACGATGTTATGCCTTCACCATGGAATTCATTCGTGAAAATTTGTTAAGTGCGTATTTCATCAGAGAAATTGGTACCTGTGGGATTCGAATACCGGCATAGTCCCGTCGCGTCTAAATTAGCTTAAAAGTAATCACCTATATGATATGCCACAAATCCTTCATCAAGACCAACAAAAGCTTAACTCCAACTAAACTTTCACTTTAGCTTTTCAAATTGAAAGATTCAAATATTAACCTACTTTCACTTACTGTTCAACTATAAAACCTCAAATATTTAATCATAAATATTACATCACGTTCATATCACATGTTTTTCAGAATCATAAGTTATATAAAATTATCTGTTATTTTTACATATCTTTACAACTGTAATAATTCAGGTATTCATGTTTTTCAGCAAATTTTTAAGACACTTCATATATTGCTATTCATTGTCCAAATACACACCTTTTATAATGTAGATTACCAAATTTACTTAAGATTCAGGTAAATCTTCTCTTGAGGAGTAATAGAGCACTCTAGAATCTGAATACTGCCACCTATAGCGTCTTGATACTTTATCAGAACACAAGTGTTAATAATTTGATCTAAGGGTGTGCCTTAGAGATTTAAAACAGTCACAGTATTAGTTTCTGCCTAAAAATATAAGTAAAATACGAATATCTGGAAGTTTTTCTAGAAATCAAAACACAACTTACAATAACTAATAAAATAATAACAGTTTGATCTGATTATCGATTACTTGTCCATTAAGCTGACTTCAGTGAAACTGTCTTATTTAATGACATTAGTAATAATGATAAAGACAATAATAATAATAATAATAATAAGAGATGTATTTTAACATAGTGTCTTCCCATAGCGTGTAATGGAAATATTGTCATTTCAAACCTAGGAGCGGTATGTATTACGATGAACATAATATCAATTATATTAGAATGTTATTGCGAGATTCAGGGGTAATGTCCACTTCGTATCTAAATAACAGCTTCTTATCAGAGCATTATCAGTGGGCGCGATTCATTAACAACGTCAATGGCTATTTAAAAATATAATAAACTAAATACTAGTTTTTATTTTGTTATTTATCCCATGATCAAACGACGTCATGACCTATTTGGGCAAAATAAAAAAAGTAGGCATATTACCCCAATGTTCCATTACCGCTAGTTAGTCTAGAGGATGAAAAATTAATAATTGTAAATAGACATGCTTTAACAAAAACCAACTTCAAATAGAAAAAATATATATTCCTAAAAAATTAATATACACTAAAAACAATAATCATCGAAATCGGTTGGCGTGATATTGAGTTATTCATATATTTGTCGCGCACGTGCTTAATGCAAATTTAAGACTTATATGGTTTTCTCATAGATACCATTATCAGAACTGGACTAAATTGACTAAATCGGACAAAAATTCTAATAAAAAAAGAATCATCAAAATCGATTCACCCAGTCAAAAGTTATGAGGTAACAGACATAAAAAAACAGTCGAATTGAGAACATCCTTTTTTGAAGTCGGTTAAAAATAAGGAGAGATATAACATCTAAATAATCTGCTAAGTGTATTATAATTTTTTCCTGTAGCCGTTTTTTGTAGAGTAGAAGCCTTATTCTGCTAGTTCAATATATAAGTTAAACTCATTGAATACCGCATTATGATGAGTGTTACTCGCTGATTTTCTCGCCGGATCTTGTCAGGGGGGCGCGATTCCGATCCGGTAGTAGATTTAGCAAAGCTCTGCTCTTGCTAGGGCTAATGTTAGCAATTCTCTCAGGTTGAGCCCGTGAGCTCACCTACCGATCCGCGCGAATTTGGAATAGCCCCTTAGGCGTGTGTTCGGTTAATAGGAAAAAGCTACAGAATGTATGTGCGACTCTGCGTCTGACATATTTAATTACCGGAAAACTGCGAAAATTTGCTTCCGTAGGCAGATATTATGCAGAGCACTCCCTCAAATATAGACTATCTAATAAGACTGATTGTTTCCGGAGGCTCTCAATGGGTATTCGCTTCATAACTATGGTGACGCTGTTTTTCCAATCGCCACAAATACGAATTTACTGATAACCATAATCTATAGTGGTGGAACTAAAGAAAATGACCATATTATATCAGATGATGTCTGTTTTATCTCCTAATCGTATTCGTCGATATGATGCTTTAACATGTTTTTTGTTTGCTTTATCTAAAACATTATCTTTTGTATTATCGTCGATTTTTATATTACTACGTTGGATTTTACTACGTCTTGAATTTTCTAGAGAAATCCAGCAACGCTTCGCTGTGATTTGCTAGAACACTAAACGTCATGTATCGTGTGTTCATGGTAATAAAACCTTCGCTGAAGTGCCACCTACAACTGTACTACAGTACCAGGCAATAAATATTGCTACCCCGGTAACCGTACTCGTCGAACTCGACAAAGAGGTCGACGTGCAACCTAACCCATGCATCAGCCCGCTGAGTTTCTCGCCGGATCTTCTCAGTGGGTCGCGATTACGATCCGGTACTGGATTCATTCGCGAAGCAATTGCTCTTGAGTTAGGTCTCCTTCGGAGGCGCTCGGGCAGTTGTTAGCAAATCCCACCCCTCCTGGCTGAGTCTTTGCTCGCCCACATGTCCTGGTGAAACTGGAAAGGCCTCCGGGCCAACCACCAAGTAATCTTTCAATCATAAAAAAATTGCACTTCGATATTTAGAAAGAGGCAGTCTTCTAATTTTGATTTTGTCGTAGAGCGTTACCTATGCGCGACGAAACATCAACGATCGGGTATCGATGGAGTCTAAATGTCAATTAGGTAATGTGCAACAGATATAACGCTCTACGAAGCAAAAATTAACCGTCTCTTTCCCACAGTCGATGTGCAATATTTATCGCCGGGTACTGTAACTTAGTACTAAGTCTCAGAGGCTTAAGAACGCAATTTAATTAAAACTAGTCTTTACCCAATGATTTCAATTTAACCACAACGACACCCGAAGATTTATATACATTTACTTTATTATAACAGCTTAATCATATGTTTACTCATTGAAAATTTGAGGAAGCTAAGCCTCTTCAATAGCTACTAAATCAAAAAGAAATCTATTAAAAAACAAGGAAAAATGATCTGAACTATTTTATTTTTTATTTTTTTATTGCTTAGATGGATGGACGAGCTCACAGCTCACCTGGTGTTAAGTGGTTACAGGAGCTCTTGAGATACAAGTTCTAAGATCTCAAGTATAGTTACAACGGCTGCCCCACCCTTCAAACCGAAACGCATTACTGCTTCACGGCAGAAATAGGCAGGGTGGTGGTAGGTACCCACCCGCGCGGACTCACAAGAGGTCCTACCACCAGTAAAGTATTTTATCTTTGCCTACTTTTAAAATGTTTATATAAACATAATTAATATTATGTTGGGTAGCTTATGAGACGTGTTTTTCGTTGAAAGGTTATTGAGATGATGAAAATTAAATAGACAAAACTATACAAAAGTTACTCTTCAATCCAGCTAACAATTTTGTTTTCAAATGTTATAAAATATCAGAAGTGTTACTCTCTAACTTTATTATTATAGGTAGGACCTCATCGAAAATTACATTAATCAATAGAAGAAACGTTTTAATAGTAATAATCTTGCCGTAATCCCAACGACTTTGACAAAAAACTAATCCAAGTTAATTACCTTTTGAAATTTATTGCGTATTGTCTTTTAGTTCCTGCTGGTGGTTTGAAGTGTGTGTGTGTGTGTCATTATATAATTAATTATATTAATTAAACAGGTGAGTTCCAAAGAGGACTTTGATCGAATTGTAATTGTAATCGTGTATCAGCCGGAATTGTGCATAGCTGATTTGGATTAAACTAATCTGTAGCGGGTTAAATTTGAGTCCGATATCTTTCAAGGAGGTTGTATTGAACCAAACATACTAGTACTGGCTAGCTCACTGCAAGCTAGTGTTAGCAAATTCGCCAGGTTTGAACCCCGTGAGCTCGCCTAGGCGCCTACACATTTGCTGAAGCTAGCATACTCTACAATCTAATACGTACTCTAATATTACTGGTGGTAGGACCTCTTGTGAGTCCGCACGGGTAGGTACCACCGCCCTGCCTATTTCTGCCGTGAAGCAGTAATGCGTTTCGGTTTGAAGGGTGGGGCAGCCGTTATAACTATACACGAGACCTTAGAATTTATATCTCAAGGTGGGTGGCGCATTTACGTTGTAGATGTCTATGGGCTCCAGTAACCACTTAACACCAGGTGGGCTGTGAGCTCGTCCACCCATCTAAGCAATAAAAAAAATAATTTTATGTTCGCGTCAAGTTTCACACGAATGAACTAATCAAACATTCTGTATAAGATCTATGGAAACGATTCATTAAATGTTTAGTATTAGGCAACGCAATGTAGTTTTTGCAGTCTGAACCGGCTGCCATTACTAAAATTACGTAAACTTGTACTCGTGAAGGCTCGAATGTACTCATTGCGCGAGGTCATCAGATATTCTCATTGTTAATAAGTCTTGATGTTAATATAAAATATGAATTAATCTTAGATTAAATATTATTAGGTATCACATGTGTTAGATTATGTTATGACGAAAAAGCATTGATGTATTATTAACTAGTTGACCCGGCAGACTCCGTAGTGCCTCAATCGATAAATAAAAGACCTAAACTTTTGTAAAAAATAAACTTAAAACAAACAAGAGGTATCCGTCCGACGCGACGGGGGACATCAAAGGAAAAACAAAATTGATATTTTTATTTAATTCCAAGAATTTTCATATTTATCTACTTTTTAATCCTTCTCTGGACTTCCACAAATAATTCAAGAATAAAATTAGCCAAATCGGTTCAGCCGTTCTCGAGTTTTAGCGAGACTAACGAACAGCACTTCATTTTTATATATATAGATAGAAGATAGATATGACTATTGTTTGCTGAATTATCGAAACTCGACTGTACTGACACCCCCATATATTAGATACATTTTATGTTATGTGTTTTGCTTATTTACATGTAAACTTTCGTAAGGTTCATATTGATGTTACAAGCATTGTATCAATGGAGAAATAATTGTGAGAACGTCTGTTGCTTTGAGTTCTTGGTGCGCTTAACACTAATCATACCAACACTTACTGGTACCTATTTCTACCATAGCGGGAATACAGCGATATATGACAAGTATTACTCAAAATAAACAAAACAAAACAAAAATAGTATAATAACTGTAGATTAATTGGTAAGAAAAAATCTTGAAGTCAAACGTGCAAAAGCAACCGGTGGTAGGACCTCTTGTGAGTCCGCGCGGGTAGGTACCACCACCACCCAGCCTATTTCAGCCGTGAAGCAGTAATGCGTTTCGGCTTGAAGGGTGGGGCTGTTGTAACTATACTTGAGACCTTAGAACTTATGTCTGGAGGTGGGTGGCGCATTTACGTCGTAGATGTCTATGGGCTCCAGTAACCACTTAACACCAGATGGGCTGTGAGCTCGTCCACCCATCTAATAAAAAAAGCAATAAGATGGATACGTGCATTTTCAATGCAGAAATGCAAAATGGGTCATTTCACCCGTTATGGTATGTTTAGTGTTAACAAAGAAATAAAACTATTGCAGGTTCCACGCGCCCGGATAGCGCTGCAACATAACTTGGGTCTCGGGGGTGCTGTCGTCATCACAATGTACCGTAAAGGATTCTCAAACGTGACGCCGAACAATGTGGCCGCCGTCGCCGACAACCCGGAAGGCTTTAAGGTCTTCAAATACATGAAGATCCTTGAAGAGGCCATGCAAACCGACCAGGACAACTTGATCGAGAAAGTGCGCGGGATCTACGGTTTCAAGGTCAGAAACGGTCCAGACGGCGCCGAGGGTTACTGGGTCATCAATGCGAAAGAAGGCAAAGGGAAAGTCACCTACAACGGCTCTGAAAAACCCGACGTGACCTTCACGATCAGCGACGAAGACGTGGCCGATCTTATATCCGGGAAACTGAACCCTCAGAAGGCATTCTTCCAAGGAAAGATCAAGATTCAGGGCAACATGGGGCTGGCTATGAAGCTAACTGATTTGCAGCGCCAAGCCGCCGGCAGGATCGAGACGATCCGATCTAAACTGTAAACGGAGTAGGTCCGCGGATCTGAGTTGGTCGCGTACCAGCCACGAGATAGTTATACGGAAAGGTTACGGAACTAGGTTGAGGGCATTTTATACTCATGATTAGACGTACTCAGTTAAATGATAAGTGTTTTTATTTTTTTAGTAAGAAAAAAATAAATAGATCACAAAATATTTCACGAGTTCGAACTTGAAAGTGTAATAAATAGGTAATGAAAGTTCGTTTCCATAAGTATTTGTTTTAATAAATGTTTATTAATAATTACATTATTATCATTCCAGAGATATATATATAAATGAAATGTATATAATTATTTTGTTATTAAATGATTTTTTTAAATAATTTTTGATGTTTTATTTTTAAAATCTTCAGTAATATGTTTTTCATAGTGTAGTTTCAGTCTGAAAACATTTTGCTGAAAATGTTATTTGTAACAAAGTCACAATTGGATGTAACAAAACGTTCAATTTAAAATTTAGATTTATTTCGTTTGACCTAATGACTCACCACAATGATATGTAAATTCTAATAAATTAATGATATTCGTTGTCTAAGTTAGACTTATTGTGATATATACAAACCGTTCTGCTTTGATAATAACCTCAAAACTATTTATGAACTTCAAAATGTGTTACGTAATATGGGGCCAAAATACTGTACTGATCATAGATACTTTTAAGGGCGTCACACACGGCGAAGATACTATAATATTCTACCTTAACATACAATATCGCTCGCTATTGTACATTTTGTATGAACTATCAAAATAAATATTATCAAATATTATCTTAATCATGTTTTACTGGTGGTAGGACCTCTTGTGAGTCCGCACGGGTAGGTAACAACACCCCGCCCATTTCTGCCGTGAAGCAGTTTTGGAGAGATATACGACAAAGGGAAGATCTTCCACCGAGCGGGTGATATTTGCTCGGTAGACCGACGGTCCAATACATACATACATTTTATACATCGATATTTCGTGAGGAACGTTGACCTACACGACGACCTGGGCCTCGAATCTATACAGAAATACATGAAGTCAGCGTCGGAACGGTACTTCGATAAGACTATGCGTCATGATAATCGCCTTATCGTAGCCGCCGCTGACTACTCCCCGAATCCTGATCATGCAGGAGCCAGTCACCGTCGACGCCCTAGACACGTCCTTACGGATCCATCAGATCCAATAACCTTTGCACTAGACGCCTTCAGCTCTAGGAGCAGGCTTAGGGACCTCGGTAACCGTACTCGTCGAACTCGACAAAGAGTTCGCCGTGCAACCTAACCCATGAATCAGCTCGCTGAGTTTCTCGCCGGATCTTCTCAGCGGGTCGCGATTCCGATCCGGTAGTAGATTCATTCGCGAAGCAGCTACTCTTGAGTTGTTAGGTCTCCTTCGGAGGCGCTCGGGCAGCTGTTAGCAAATCCCACCCCTCCTGGCTGAGCCTTTGCTCGCCCACCTGTCCTGGTGAAACTGGAAAGGCCTCCGGGCCACCAGTAATCCTACAATCATAAAAAAAAAAACATCGATATTAGGGTTATCTGTGTAACTACATAGTTACACTACACAGTAATTAATGCGTTTCGGTTTGAAGGGTGGGGCAGCCGTAGTAACTATACTGAGACCTTAGAACTTATATCTCAAGGTGGGTGGCGCATTTACGCTGTAGATGTCTATGGGCTCCAGTAACCACTTAACACCAGGTGGGCTGTGAGCTCGTCCACACATCTAAGCAATAAATAAAAAATATTGGATTTGAAATAAAATGATAACATCAAAAGTTATTCTCGTTAAGTACTACTTACGTATTGAAACATACTTATTAAGTGTATATTTATGTGCATACATATTTATTAAGTTTTTAATATCGTATTTTTTGTATTCACGTTTTTATTCCCTTACATAACGTTATGTTATCATAGATACAAGAAGATATTTGCCATGCGATAATAGATACCTGTAAATGTTTTTACTGATAATCGAATTGCTCAAAGGTTGTAGGTACCTACTGTGAATTGTAACGGACGAATTAGATAATACATGTTTCAAGTTTAAAAACTTATAATGCATGAAGCGTGGCGCAAATTAACTCTAAGACTCCTGTCAGATGACATTCAACTATTTTGTTCTTGATCTGGATGCATATATATAACAATTAAGGTTTCGGACAATCCGGCGTCTTGTGGTTACTGAGTTTCCGTATAAGAAAACACAACACGAATGCCTAATTATTATTCAAACGTGGGGTAGTCATCCGTGCGGGTAAGACGGTATGCAATTGAATAATAATTACGTCTCTGGATCGTAGCTTGTGCGTATGGTGTTCACTAAACTTCCTCCACTGTAATACTACGTACTCAACAAATGTTCACGATTGACTTCCACGGCGAAGGAATAACATCGTGTAATAAAAAATGAAACCCGCAAAATTATAATTTGCGTAATTACTGATGGTAGGACCACTTGTGAGTCCGCGCGGGTGGGTACCACCACCCTGCCTATTTCTGCCGTGAAGCAGTAATGCGTTTCGGTTTGAAGGGTGGGGCAGCCGTTGTAACTATAGATAGTACTTGAGACCTTAGAACTTATATCTCAAGGTGGGTGGCGCATTTACGTTGTGGATGTCTATGGGCTCCAGTAACCACTTCACACCAAGTGGGCTGTGAGCTCGTCCACCCATCTAAGCAATAAAAATAAATAAAAACTACTGCCTACGAATGGAGATTTTTACGACAATTTCGTTCTCAGATTTACTAGTAAGTATGCTTATGAAGACGGCGTCGGAACGCTTCTTCGCGACATGTTAAATCGTAGTAGCCGCTGTGTACAGTCCCATGTGCTTAATGTGAGTTTTTTAATGTTCTCGATAGCGTAAAAGTTAACTCAAATTTGTATGGAGTCGGAACGTTTGTCTACGTTTGCCACTAGGGGCGCTGTTCCAAGTCCATACAAATTGAGTTAACTTTTACGCTAGCGAGAACGTTAAAAACTCGCACTAACACTTCTGTTCGGTTTACACAACTACCAACTGCCGTCGACGTCTTAGACAAGCCCTGATAAAGCCACTTGATCCAGTCTTATTGCTGTCAGTCGCTACTATATCTAACACTAGCTAAAGCACAGGTCACCAAGCATAGCCAGCAGCATTGGCCAGTTGAGTTTCTTAACGAATCTTGGGCAAACAGCAATTCGTCCAACCACAAAAATTAAATAATAATAAAACAGTATGAGTAAGATTTACTTCTGTGACTCCAGTAGACAAAAAGTCAATCTTAAGGTCAACGCGTTTTCGTCTGCTTTGTGAGTGGCAATAAACAAAGATCGCTATAACGATAGAACCGATACTAGTTCTTAATTTCTACGCTAGGTGGCTCTGTTTAAAAAATTCGCTCGGTCACGCTTACTTAGACGATTCTCGCAATGATAAGGATCCATAAATATTAAAGTAGTCATCATTATTGTACCTTTACTTCAAAATCTCCGTGAATCGAATTCATCTTCAATAAATTACTTATTAAGCGGGTGGGGCAATAACCATAATAGAACACAAGGCATTTAACAATTGCCTGAATCTCGCTAACGAGGAACTGATACATTCGGACGGTCGGTCGGTCTACTGAGAAATTTTAACAGCTCGGTGAGTGATTATTCTTTTTATCATAACCTTCCAAACTAGTGACCTACGTAGGATCTGCTGCAACCTTCACACTTACACCGTATGTCATCAACGACCAGTTTCAGCACTTTTGCAAGTCACAAGGCAGTAAGCAGGGTTTTGGTTGCTACTCGTGTAGGTGTTTGTTGGTTACCACCAATAATAAGCCCACACAAGTGTGCTTAGTGCGAGCTATTTAACGTTCTAGATTGCGTTAAAGTTAGATCTTTGTATGCAGTTGGGACAGCGCCCCTAGCGGCAAACGTATGCAAACGTTCCAACTCCATACGAATTTGAGTCAACTTTTACGCTATAGAGAACGTTAAAAGGCTCGCACTAAGCAGACAAATGGAAAATTGGAGCAGCTATAAAACGGAGATATAGAAATCTATGTAACAGTTTGAGGTCCATGGGCTCCAGTAACCTCTTAAACCTGGGTGAGAGATCGTCCACTTTTCTAAGCAAGAAAAAACATTACCATTTAACTGTATGGCCCTGTAACCGACTCAAACAAAAGAATTCCACTTTTTTTTATTTATTATTCCTACGCTTTTTTTTATTAAGCTGGTAGCCTGGAGCGGCTATTTCAGCGTAACCGTAACTAGTAGGTGAGCTCACGGAGCTCAAACCTGACGACGATGCTAACACGAACCCTAGCATAAGTCGTGCTTCGCAGAATCTACCCCCGGATCGGAAACGCGACCCACAGAGAAGATCCGGCGAGACACTCAGTGGGCTGTGTCTGAGGGTTAATTTACTCGTCGAGCCCTTCGTCGCAAGCGACGGGTTCCACGAGAACGGTGACCGGTGCTTGAAGTACCTAGAAGCACCGTTAGTGGATCAGGTAGATCCGAGATGACGTAGAATTCCACAATCATGCAAATGAAACACTACTCATAGAAATCATTTCACTTTATTGCTCCACAAGGTATTTTCTATAAGCTTTTTTTTTTCAAGTAAAAACACACTTTCGAAACCACATCGTACGAACATGTGTGTGTGTACATAACAGAACATTTATTATTTTTACAACCATTTAATAATTCTTACATCTCTAATCTATCAGGTACTTTACAATATACAAACGGTTATTCTTGTTACCGCAGTGAAATGTAAATGTTTTGTTATCAAAACAAAATACAGATTTTTATGGTTGGTTTGTTTTTAACACAAAATTTAACAATTTACAATATTCACTTCTGATATAAACACACACTATTCATAAATCAAGCCGTTTCGGTATAACATGACATTTTTTTAAATAAAACAAGTCTTAGAGAATTATAAGTCGCAAAACGATACATACTAGATAATAATGCTACTACATAATGCAGTGAAAGGATAATTCTTGCTCGCTTTCAATTTTATTTTCATACAAAAATACATTTTGTTAATTCTAATTTTAGGATTTACTCGGCAAGATATCTTTTTTTTCTAAGTATTTACGTCAGATTCATTTTTAACGACAGGCATTTAAGTACAGGCAATATAATTGAATCTATTACATTTGAAAATCACATGTAAATAAAATATTTAATTAGATTTTCAGAATTTAATAATATTAAAAAAATATATATATGATGAAATGTGATGTAGGTAATTTAATTATAAAAAGAAATTGTAGAAATGGTTGCCGTGATTAATTTTACAGTGTATATTCATAATGTAAAGCTTGGCACAGAACATCGCTCCAGAATTTTCTTTTTCATTTTGCCGTAAGTACTTTAAAAACCAGTGCCCACATAAAACTCATATTCAATATGGATAAACTATTATTAAATACATATTATTATTATTATTATATGATTTAGTAATGTATATAATTATTTAATACATAATTTGCGACTTTCTTAATAATGTAAAATTATTACAAACAGATGTTATAACAGACATACATGAGATCACAGAGTATATTAACCCTGGCGAATCACCAATCACGCGATAAAACTATGTCTCAATCAAAATTTATCAAAATGTCGTGTATATAATTAGGTACTTATGTAAAAAATTAAAAAAAAGTCATCATACACTAGGTTGAATTTACCATGAATTTTTTATTTGCCTTTTTAATAAATATTTGAAAATACAAAATATAAATGTAAGTACGTTTTGTTATAAATAAGTGTTGTACAAGTCAATTGTTTATTTAAATAATGAAAAACATGTATAATAAATTTTTCATAGATAATTGACATAGAATTTTGGGGGGAAAATTCAACTTTAGAAATTTAATCAACAAAATCATTAGTGTTTCATTTGTGGGAATATTAAATGTTAATTGTTACTATAACTAAATAAATTAAGAACGAAAATCTGATAACGGGTAAAATTGAGACAAAGTTACCATCGCATCAAATTTAATTATTAAATAAAATACAACAGCCTGACATCCTTATGTAGCTCTTAAAATTGTAGGTACAGTAAAACAAATATTTACATAATTTTTTTCTTTTTTAAAAACTCTCACTGTCCCTTTATGCGTAATGTAATACTTTCAAAAAACCGTTAAGTTAAAAAATACAACCTTGTGAGTGTTGCAAGATTACAAGTAAATCATTTTTTTTATATATTTAGCACCATGATTGTAGGTAGTAAATACGCAATTTGATTTCAGTATTATCAAAGAAACAGTGAGAGGAATTGTTAATTGAAACTTTTCCATCGATACAAACCTACGCTAATAATTAAAGCGTTATTTTAGGTTAAAATGGCTTAGCCATGATATTAAAATTGCAAATCGATAATTTCTAAAGAATAAAATATTAAATTTCCTTTCCAAAACAAGTCTTGTTAAAACAAACAATAAACACGTTTTTTTTTAAATCCAAAAATAAGTAAACTTAAGAGATTAAATATTAGCCAAGCCAAAAATATATTATAGCACCAAAATACTTTTTTTTTTCAACAACAAGTACTGATAGAAAAGTTTCATGCTTAGTTTCATGCTTAGTTAATAACAACGTAGCCTTAAATCCAAAACTCAATGCAGTCTGCATACTAATATAAACTAAAAGTAATGTTTAAAAATAATAATTTACACGCAGTAACTGTACCTTAAAAATATATATTATATAATAATTAAATGGTAATATTTAATTTTTTTCAGTTTCTCTGACTAGTAATAAACTATTCTACAACTGAATATAGTAATATGTATAACTTATGCACTACACTATCTATTTAACATAGCACTCGTCGAAACATAACAACAATTTGAAAGGATTTTTATTTGAGCTTTGCCAAAGTCAATTTGAGTCGTCTATTATCAAAGGTGGCAATCTGTGAATTTGGACAAAAAAATGTTATTGATATGTCAATACAGATTGTTTTGAATATAATCGTCTCCTTCAAAGAATACGGTTCAAAACCTGCATTAAATAAAGTATTAACTTAACCTGTTATTTATCCAAGATGTCGTTCAGAAGAGTTTTGTGACTGCCAATAGAATACAAAGTCAATAATTCGTTTTTCTGATTTACCAATAGTTGTCCAAAAGTCACATTGCCGGCTTTGATAATAGTCGAATCATTTAACAGTGAAATCATATTTCACGAACTCGTTAATTATATATATTATTAATGTTTACCCAGCCGCTAGCAGTCTCGAGTAGGCAAATTAATAACATGCATTTTTCACACGCAAATGAATGTACATAATCTTACTTAGTCTGTGCATTAGATACTGAATTTCAAAAACTGATTTTTTACAAATTAAAATCCGAGACATAATAATGTAGACAGGTGAGATTTCATTTTCTTAATACAAAAATGAATGTACTATTATTCAATGTCCCTGCTTATGGTTTAGACATTAGTGAACAACAATTTTCTGCTATTTAAACAGCACATAATAATTTGTGAAGAACATATTTTAGAATCTGCCAGTTTTTGCTAAATCAATATCTCAGAACTTCGAAATGAATATTGTTTATAATAAATCGATTACGTATGAATTCAGTTGGTAGGTACCTACTGTTATAAAAATGTGTACTAAATTAAAATGCAATTTTAATTTAAAAAGTTTGCAAATCCAAATATAAAAACAAATTTATTCTTTTACCTCCAAAACGTAAATGGTCATACAGTCACTCTTAACTTTGTGATAGACACGGCTCGGATAATGGATATAAACCATTTATGTCGATAGATATACAATAAATAATATAAAACAGCGTTTACGTTGTAAAGGTAAAATGTTGTAAACGAAATCAATTATTACTCTTAAACTTTGCTAGAACATTTAATTTACATCATATGATCATACATAAGCCCCGCCAGTTTTGTTTTTTAATTTCAATATAAAATATAGTTAATAGAGTTGGACTCACAAGCGAACGGCTCCGAAGATAGAAATTTCGAATTTTTCGAAATGTCATCACAAACATCATTTGACAGCTGACATACAAAATTAATCACGAAATGTATGTATGTACATATTACGGTTAAAATATCACTCCTTTACAATTCTTGTGATAGTAAATCTATAAATTCATAATTTAAAATTGTTTTTTGTCTACTAATTTACTTAATTTAAATCAACAAAAGCTAGTTGCACTGAAAAGATGACGGCAGTGATAATTTTCATTTTACTTCACAATCCATAGACAATAGTTATATAAGTAGGTATGTTTATGTACAAAATTTTAACGAAAAGCGATTTCTTAAATATATTTTTTTTCCTTAGTTTTAGCCAAATATATTTTATATACAATGAGGTAGACAGAAGGAAATATTTCCCGTAACATTTTGTTGGCCTGTAGTCTACTAACTATGAAAAGTATTTTTTTTTTGTTGCAGTACAAAAATATTTTGCTTTTGTTCCTTGGATTATTCGTGTATGTTTACTCAACACGTTGGACCTACCTACAACTTTTATCTTACTTTACGACTTTATTAAATACCCCAACAGATGGCGTTGTATACGAAAAAGTCCGTATCTTCCATGTAACATCAATCACAGTTCCCATGGATGCTATTAACAGCTTTCAAACTGTAGTATTAATTTTACTGTGTTTTTTTTTACTACAAGTACCTACACTTATCTATACAGTTTGAAATTTGATGAATCTTCTTTAAAATATGTCAATCAGACAATAAGAAGCTATGGGACTTAAGAATTATCAATATCGTAGTATTACGTAATAAAACGAATGAGGATAAAATTTTTGCATCTTATAAATTTAAATGAAAAAAAAAAACTTTTTTACACGTACATATATACTAAGTATATATGATCCACTTGCATATGTACCTATATTTAGAAAGTTTTGTAAAACCGATGCCTCCAATGAACACTACTCTAACTCAAAATTTTGAAATTTTAGTTTTCCATACTAATCGCTTCACTACGTTAAAAGTATTACAATTAATCATTATTGATGGGGTTCGAAGCAAGAGTAAATCAGCTAGTTACACAAAAAAAACATAAATATATCTGCAATTATAAAGATTTTGTCAACTTTTTTCGTTTAAACGCTCCTCCTGTAAATCTACGAATTTGGAGTTAGCGTAGTGTTCATTGGAGGCATCGAAACATGCTTCGTAAACATTCGACTTGGGTTTTTGCGTTATAAACATACCTTCTCGAATAAGTTCTGAAATCGATTAACTCAATAAGTTGAATTTACTATTAAATTATTTTAGTACAATCTTTTTATCCCTTGAGGCTTCAGTAGACGATGATAAAAACAAAACAGTGATTCGATTTTGTCCTATTTAAATTCATATTCCATAACACAGTATTTGGTACGGTTGAGGTTTTATACAGAGTTATTTTTATACTTGATAAATAATAGGCCGATACTACCTGATACTAATACTAATCGGTACCTGATACTAATCGGTATTTACGACAAGAACTAATGACGGGGTCATCGTAATCAATGTAAAATTTTAAAACCTAAATGTACTTTAGACTATGACTTCTATTGTATTTCAGGTTTCAACATAATCTACCCGAACGTACAATATAACCTTAGAAATAACCCTGTATAAATTATGCTTACGGTTGTAACTTTACTATCATTTCACTATTACATTATTGTGAGTATTGTTATCGGTCATCGAAAAGCACAGATTTGAGGTCACACGAAAGGTACCTCTAATGGCACACGGCGAAAAGACTACGAAATAAACTGCAATATTAAAACGAAACCGTATTCGACATGATTATGTACATCTGCACAATTGTATGGTAAGACCGGACACGACCGACGCCACCGCGCCGGCACGAGCACGACACTGCTCCGAACGTCGACGACAATTTCAGTAGAGCTGTGGCAATACGCACTGCGTACTGCTATAAAAAAAAAAAAAACAGTAGAGAACTTCACGATCACGGCGTTCGGATGCCGCACGAAGCGCCATCATCGGGCGCCGGGGCCACCACCTCACTCACTGAGCGTCCATTGCGCGACCCCGAGTAGCGCAGCCTGGTGATGACGCGCGCCCGTCAACACGGCGGCTCCGCGGACTCGCGCTCCCTTCGCGCTAATTCCACCTCGCGCTCGTGCAGCCTCGCCTCCCGCCGCACCAGCTCGGCTTCCCGCGCGTCCAGGCGCCGCGCCCTCTCCGCCAGGCGGGCCTCCGCGTCTAGCAGCCGGGCTGCCAGTTCAGACTCGCTCTGTGGCGGCGGCGAGGTCGATGACGTCACGTCGTCCACAGGCGGGGTCAGAGGCTTCAGGGCCACGTTCGGCTGATAATCGCGCTCGAAACGAGAGCAGTCCGCGACCCGCACGACCCGCTCGGGGTTCTGTAGCACTGGCTCCCCCTTGCCCCAAGGTCTGAACGCGGACAGTGCGCGGTACTGCAGCGCGTACGGGTCCAAGAACAGCGTGTAGCCGTAGTCTTCACCGCGGGACTTCTTTGGCGGCGATTCCGGTGGTTCTGTCTTGCACACGACGGTCTCCACTATCTGAAATCAAGAAAATATACAGTTAACACGTGACTGATCTGAATAGAGTGGATCGCATTTCGCGAGGGCGACCTTTTTTGACGTCAATAGCTTATCGCCGGCAAACAATGATTTGAATATGTTTACGTTGCATTGAAATGTTTCATAATCCTTATTGTCGTTTCAAAATATGACAAAGAGATCATCTTTGTGACAATGAATGACTTAAAAGTACCCAAGTGAGCTGAAAAAGAATCTAATTATTTAGGAGGGCTACGAAAGACTAATAAGTATTAGAGTGCGGCGCAAGTAAGCTTTCTATTGTTCGATGTTAATAATGCCGATGCCGTAGCAATAATAGTGCCTACGATATCAGCAAAACACATTCGCCTTACGTAATGCAGGTGTGAGGGAGGCGCGGGAGGCAGACGGCGCGCGTCATCACCACTAGGGGGCTGAAGGTTGGGCGGGGTGAGGGTGGATGTAGGTCGCGGCCGGGCCGCAGACGACCCCCAGACGCCAGCCCCGCGCCCCTGCGACCCATAACAGTTTAAGACCCGAATTCTCTGTCGGCACTACGTTCTAAATCTGCTCGCCTTAAGAAAGCCTCACATTCATGCTTTCCTTTCTTTTGATCCGTAATAAAAAATGGCTTATTACTTAATGAAACAACACGAATGTAATTCGCGGTCACACATTCGTGACCGAATTTAATACTTGATCGAGTTACCACGCTGTGACGTTATTTTCTTTGTGTATAGTATACAATAATATGTGAGTAAATACGCCAATACATGTACAACAGAGAGCTTCGCTATCCCCGCGGGGAGTAATTCTGAATGTGTTCAATAATAGCGTACCTTACGAAGACTAATCGATCGAGAGACGCATAGATAGATAGTAAATGAAACTAGAAGAGGGTAGGTACATCACGCCCACAGTTGTTTTATCCCACAAATGTATTATATTATTACGTGTTTATATTAATATTTATGGTCATTATTTAAGGTAATGCCTACACGATAGATAGAAGTACATACAAAATACGTCTCTCGGGATGTTAAACAATGTTAAGCTGTTGCTGCCCTTTGTCCATAATGTTAGGTATTTACGGTAACTAAAACATATTGTACCGGAGGGATTACATGTTTTATATATTAGTATTAATTATTAATATGCTGTGTTAGTTTGTTCTATACAAAATATCGTCCACACATTCATCACGTTATAATAAAGCAGTGGGATCCCTGTTTTTTTTTGCCTACCTAATTTTTAGTAGCCTAAGTGGTTATTCCAATTTCACGCGAACCACTTGAGCTTACGGGCTCAATCTGAGAGAATTGCCAACACTGGCCCTAGCAAGAGCAGCGCTTCTCTGAAACTACCACTGGGTCGGAAACACGACCCACTGAGAAGATCCGGCGAGAAACTCAATGGGCTTTGTCTATGGGCTAGTTCGCAATGTCGAATTCTTCGTCGTAATCGACGATGATCCAGATTATTCTGTGATTTAAGAAAAAGAAAATAAATAAAAATATAAAGGCACTAAAGTCACTTAAGTAACTAAAGGATAATAGAACGTAAGCCTACTATTTTTAGAATTGTTTTAGTTTGTTTATTCGCATCTCCAAAACGTTCGTTTTTCATTTAGTTTTCACAAGTAGACAGAGATTAATTAGGAGCAATGTTTATGTATGTTATTAACTTCGGAATTCGCAAAACAGTTGTCGTCCGTCCAAAGTTTTTTGACTATGTCTATCTGTGTTCACGCCTAAACCAGTGAACTGGTTTTTGTGAAGTTGCGAATGGAAATAGTTTGAATTCTAGAAAGTAATGCAGGATATCTATTGGTAGATTTAACTATTACATACACATCCATGTACAAAAATACATCATATAATCTTAATGGTGTATTAAAAGCCATGATGATTTCTTCCTGTTTATTCACAATCTGTTGTTGTCGACATAGAAATCCATACAGCAAGTATAATACGAACCGCTGTCTCCTGTTTCATGACACGTGTCGCCTCCTACGCGGGTCGTATTTCTGTATTACTCCGAATAAATCAGATAATTACGTTGGACGACTCCGATATCGCCAATATCCTTTGAAAATGTTGCCTATTTAATGGATAAAGAGAATGCGTAATGATTTCCCAGAATGATTTTGTTGACGGCAAATATTCACGTAATTCGAGTTAATTATGTACCTATATTGAATGTTTATTTATCGAGTAAGATAATCATTGGGTAAGGGAGGATACTTAAATTGTTGTTTATTTATAAGATCTTGTGCGCCAGAAATGTACTTGCTTTTTTTTTCTCAAGGGCTATTCCAGTTACGCACGGTTTGGCAGGTGAGCTCACGGGGTTTAACCTGGGATAAATTATTAAGACTCCTCCTCCTTTGAGTCGCATTCCTCATGTCTGAGGGTCGTGACCATCTCCTCCCATTATCCTTCTCTGGATGATGTTTTGCCATATTCTCGGCGGTGTCTATTGCATCGTAGACTGTTGTATCCATAGTGATGCGGATTTGGCCGAACCAGCGCATTGGATTGCGGCCACGAGATCTTTTGCCTGCAAGATTAGCCCTAGAAATAACAGCGCTTGGCTGAATCTACCGCCAGATCGGAATCGCGACCCACCGAGAAGATCCGAATAGGAACTCGTGAGTTGTGTCTATGGGTAAAGTTATACGTCGAACTCTTCGTCGAGATTCGAATTCGGCGAGAACAGTGACCGGTACTTGAAGTGCCTACAATCGACCTACTGAGAGGATCCGATAGGACATATTGTATGTTGCAACAACACGAACTGATTTAGAAAGCCTCATATTGTTCTTATTTAGAAAAACACTCAATAGAACAGCCGAAGACTAGAGCCCACACATTATTAGGTGAAGCGTTCGTGTTCTAATAGGTACGACGCCTGACACTATAACACCAAGAAGGATTCAGAGACACCACTTAATTATTTTGTGTTTCATGTTATGCAACTGATAGACCTAATCATAACAAAGTAGAAATATATTACAATTGCAAACGTCGATAACATGTTTATATGACATATGACATAGCGTGCATGATCATGCTCAAATTACGTGGTTAGGCCGATGTTCCGCGTGGTATCCTCATCTTCGGCGTCCACATTGATCTCTTAATTGTTATCCAACCATTCACGCATCAAGGCTCCACAGCACAATCAACGCCCACAGTTTCTGCCCGGATCTTCTCAGTGGTCGCGTTTCCGATCCGGTGGTAGATTATGAGAAGCACTGTTCTCGCTAGGGCCAGGCAACACTTCCGGTTTGAGCCCCGTGAGCTCACCTACACGTTAAGGTGAAGCTGAAATTGCTATTTCTCAAGGCTATCAGCATAGGTAAAAAAAGAATAAAATTCCACATTACCCCATTAAGTTTGCCTACGTTTGCCGCTAGGGGCGCTGTTCCAACTGCATACAAATTCGAGTTAACTTTTACGCTATCGAAAACGTTAAAAAACTCGCACTAAGCATACTGCTAAGTAATAATTTTAAGACTCCAAACTAACATCCTGAAGTCGCGTCGCTGTTTCTAGTTTCCGTTAAACCTCCACCAGGAACTGGTCATGTAAGCCATAGCCTCCTACACTCCAGTAACATTCAACCATTATTTTTGTATAACACGTCACATCCGAACCCAGTAGCAATTGTTTTATCAGATATGTATTTAAATCCACTTTTAAATCCGGTGTATTTTAAAGACGTTAACGCAAATCGTTTAATCTGAAGGGAAAACATTCTTCCCACACATATCATGTCGAGTATTCCACGAGGCGATTACGAGCATCGACATACGCGGGCCAGCAATAACAAATACTGACGCAGGGCTGAATATATAACATTACTTGTACGTTAAATATAAATATAGGGAACCGAAGTATCGATGATGATATTAAGTGATATATTTTTTATTTATTAGTATCAGGTAGTATTATAATATCATGTAGGAAGAGATGTAACGTTAATTTAACTTCAGTTATCACTGGCTGTATGTAAGCTATTCGTTAACGCGGTAAGAAGTTTAGTATCAACCTAAAACAGGCAAGGGTGTCAGTTTCAAAAATCCTATTATTTAAAAAAAAAATAGATAATGAAACTAGTCTTCGAATTACGACCAGCCCTAGTACGCCGTCAATGGACGCGGTTTGTTTGGATAACGTCGGCGCAGACTCCCGGGACCGAATCATCGTATTATTAATTAAAAGTAACAGTGTTTGTACAGTACGTTCCCAATTACACAATGGCACGTAGCAGACGTGTTTACAGCCGCTCAATGACGCGTACTCGCGTTTTATTGTCGGTGAATCAGTGTTGCTAGGACGGAAAATATTTTGGTGGTCCCAAATTAAATCTAAGATCGTTGTGCTTGTGTAAAATACAGATTTTTAGCGATTCCGTCGTCTATTCTATTTTATAACTTCGAAACTGTTAGACGATTTCTGTAGCAATTTGATGATAAACCGTCCCCATTTTTGTTTTTCCCTATCTATTGACTGGTAGCCTAAGGGGCTATTCTAGCTACGCGTGGATGGATAGGTGAGCTGACAGGCACAACCTAAGATAGTGTGATAACACTAGCCCTAGCATATCATGTGGTCGCGATCCTCAGCAATGAGGGAACGATATAGAAGAAGCCCTAGCAAGAGCAGTGCTTCGCATAATCTACCGCGGGGTTAGAGTTCTCATTAGCTCACCAAGGAACCATTTGAGGTGACGCTTATATTTGACCGGGATTTCAGAAATTTCGTAGAGTACGTGATCAACAATCAATCTATTGAATAAGATATTGTCCGAGACCAATCAAGAAGACAATACATATTTTTTTTCTACCGATGCTGATAGCCTTTAGAGGATATTTCAGCTTCGCCCAACATGTAGGTGAGCTCACGGAGCTCAAGCCGGGTGTGTTGCTAACACTGGCCCTAACAAGAGCAGTGCTTTGCAGAATCTACCGTCGGATCGGAAACGCGACTCACTGA